TTATACTTTTGCGTATTTCGAGAGGAAAGTGACATTGATGAAGAACTAGGAAGATCCTTATATTCTAGAATTGATGGTTTAGAAGAAGTACAACTACGATTAAGTTACAAATACAATTTAGAAAACGGACTTGATGTCAAAGACATAGAAAGAAGAATGCGTGAATTAGATATGAATAAGGATTCGAAATAATATTTCTCATGTTTATTGTTGTAATTAGTATGGTAATAAAGTGATTAAACATAATTATGTATATATAGAAATCCCTAGACTTTCAAATTTAGTTTAGTTAAAAAATTTATTGAATTTAAAATGAAAATTGGTCAAATTATCTGTTATCTGCTATCTGTTAATCATATTTAGAACGCTTACGCATAACAATCACATATGTTCTTCTGGAAATACCGAACTACTTTCAAAACATGTATTACTACTAATAATTCTTGCACATGTTTGGAAGGTATAAGGTTGTTCGGAAAGTCACTTCATTTTTTACCACCAGAATTTAACTATATTTTTTTGAACCTAATATCACACTTAAGCCTTATTATTATTATATGATTTGAAAACTTATATTTTAAGGCCTGTGTGTAAAAAATTCTAATCAATTACATGCAGTAGTTTTTGGATGGTGCCACTTTAAATATGGAAAGAATTAAGCAGCATTTTCGACGTATTTTACTCTTTTGCTATAGAAAAAGTAAAAAAAAAAAAACGTTTAGGTCAAATTGAAATTGACCGATGTGTAAGGAAATGACATGTTGATAGCACGACAGTGCCAAAATTAGTTTGCTAAATTTCATTATTGGTATTTTAAAGTCCAAGATGTACCAAGTCCAAGAAGTATGGTTGAAGCTGATAAAGACGTGAGAAAGGCATTAGTTGATGCAAACCGATGAATAACAATACATAAGATCCCATTGAGTAAAAATTTATCAAATTTAACAGTTCATGACCACTCAAAAGGTCTGGAATTTCCCTCAAAACTCAGTGTATCGTTCTCATAGAAAGAAACGTGTGTCGTCGCACTGGGATCCGCGAATCACCTCTAAAAAATCTTGAAATTTATCAGGTTTTGAAGCAAATTGTCACTAGGAATGTCAAATGGAATGTAAAGAATACAATATACGCAAATGCTCATGAAACAAAAAAAAAAGAACCTGCTTAAAACAGATGCAAAGCTGAAATTTGCCAGAAAAGGATGATGCAGTATGTTTGGTAAGATTTGCTCATTTTTCAGCTTTTCCAAGATAACATAACGGTTAATTCAGATGCTTCATGTCATCAGGTGGATAATCTAAATGATATACTTCAATAGAAAAGGTCAGAATTAATCCACAAGCAAAGTATAATCCTGCATCAAGACGATGCAAGACCTCACATAAGTTTGGTCAATCTCCAGAAGCTTTTGAAGGTTGAATGGGACCTAATGACACATTCCTCACATTCTCTAGACCTGCCATCATCGGACTAATATTTGTTCCGGCCACTAAAAAAAATTCAGGCGGTAAAACCTTTACCTCAAATCAGCCTGTCAAAATCCACTTTGATCAGTTTTTTGCCAATAGCGACCAAAACTTTTATGATTTCGGAATTATGCTAATACCAGAAATATGACAAAAGATGTTCGATCAAAACTGCCAATACATAATTTATTGAAGTAATTGTTAATTGTACGAAAATTACGTGCCAACAAAAACAAAGTTACTTTCCGAACAACCAATAATTTATAAAATCAATATAGTAATCTTTGCAAGAAAAATTGATATAGTAATTCTTGCACTAGTATGTTTCATGCAGAGTTTAGTTGAATTTGGTTATAAGAATTATGTGTGCTGTGTATTTTGAAAATGGACGAATTCCGGTTTCCTTTGTTATTTTTATTAGTAAAACATTATAGATTGCTTATAATCCAAGTAAATACGAAAATTCTTCCAAGCAAATATGTTCTCGGAGATAGTTTAAAAATCAAATCGTGTAGTTTGAAAGTGGCCTAACTCCATTCATACATAAACAATCAAGATAATATGAACTATTATAATATTTACTATTGATAATGTTGCAAAGTATTTTTAAAAAAAGTAGTTTAAGTTCCATTTTTGGACAATTGTTTTAGTTGAATAACCAGTATGTTCAAATAAATATAAAACTTAAAATTTAATATTAAATTTTAAAAATGATTTCACCCATAGAGAGAAAAACATAACAAGACTAATTTAGTTCAGATAGTGTAAAAGAAATAGTAAGTAATGATTTAACAAAATTTAATGTCCTGAATTTATTACCGCAACTAGATAGACCAAAATAGTATAAAAATGTATTGACACCAACAAATAAAATTATCAGATGATTTACAACAGCAAAATTCAAGAACATAATAAACCTATTACAATATATACGACCGAAACATCATGATTATTTCAAATCCCTTTTACTGAATCTGGTTGTCAATGTTGCAAATAGCCTAACTCCATTCTTGATACGAAAATGCATATTATTGACTTAATAATTGCCACTATTTTAAAAGAAACTATAAGTTTTATAGATACACTTACAACTCATTAATAGATACACTTACAATACATTAATGCCCTATACATATATTTTTAAATTCATTGAAACCCTTAAACATATCTTGATTTTAAGATAAATGCAATTAAGCGACTTTCAAAATAAACAGTTAATGTATATAATAAATTGATATCTAAATAGTTGGTTTTATATAATTAAATTCCATTACAAAACAAACTTTACTAAATACATGCAAATAAATTTTAAATAGTCTTCAAACATAAATGGATAAAAAGTCACTTGATTTGATTTGAGTGTTGTAAACTGTTGGTTTTTGATAAGAACGGGTTCATTTGTTAATAAGTAAACAAATAGAAAAACTGATATAATAAAATTATCGAGATTCAAATTAACTTGTAAAAATCACTTAGAACAATCTTAACTGTTTAATTAATGTTTTGTATATAGATCAGAACTATCTCTATGCTTGAAAACATTTTTAAAAACAGCTTGATATGATTTTTCTTGGAAAATTAATGTTGAATGAATCATTTTATCTATTATGTAAAATGAGAATGATTTTTAAATTTTGCTTATAGATCAAATAATAGAAACTCATTTAATAAAAATAATTTTCAAAAGTGAAATTCAAAGTTCTTCTTCAATCAACCACAAGAAAAGTAAATTATGAATGTCAATAACATGTAAAATATTTAAAAAAAAAATGGTCAAAATGAGTTATTCATTTATAATTATCTCATCATCAGATTTTGATTGAATTCTGAATAGCATTCATTTTTTTGCCAATACATATGCGCGATCCAAACAATAATACAAGATTCACAAATTGCTTATAAAATTTTCATTAAACAAATAATTTTAGTTGTTAAGGTCAGAATCATTTTTCTTAGTTTCATTTTTCAGAAATTTTAAAATATGCTATTTTATCCACCATAACAATAGTATGCTTAAAGATAAATATAAAAAAGAAACAAAAGATCTATCTTTAGAAGTTTTAGGCGGAGAGCTGCTGAATGGTGTTCCTGTAAGTCTAAATAAATTTGTACTGGTTTTCATTTTCAAATGCAGGAACAAAAATGATGTGCAGGGCTAAAACCTGCCAGGCAATAATTTTCATACGTGTCAAGCTAAGAATAACCAGTACAAAAATTTTAAGCATTACAGAAACACACCATTATTCAAAAGGTTCAGTACCTCTTGGTCGATTTTGGTATATAAAAATAGAATTATTCTTACCTAAGCCAATGTCGTTTAGTTACAGATGTATGACAGCATATAGCATCATACTGGTCGGCTACCCAAACAATGAGGATTATGTAAAATGCCGTTGTAGTGTCATTAAAGAATTCAGACATAACTGCCTCCATTCCTGAAATGAATTAACAAAATTCAAAGAAGTGTTCAAATAAAACATATTTAAACAAATTTATATAAATAACAATACATTAACAAGTATCAAGGATTGTTTTATGTTTGGTATTCAGTTCTAATTCAGCTCTTCTAAGAATTTAAATCAGCAAAATTGTATAACATTATTTGTTTTAATGTAGAAAGTTTAACTGGCCATGGTTTACATGTGCTATTTCTTCACACAAATTTTGTAAATATTTATTACTACTATATAACTATACTGCTACATATTTATATGAGGACATGATTACTTTTAATTTATTTTCTATTTGAAATACATCACATAAGTAAAGAGGAACTATAATAAATTGACTATAAAGAATATTGAAGTTCATTTCCAACCAGAAATTGAACTGAATACTCAGTTAAAATTAACAATTATAAAATTAATTAAAGTGATTATAAAACAACCAAAATAAGTGAAACATTGCGATTGAAAACTTACCAACAAGAGCTAAAATAACTGTAAGCAATGGAGCAGCCGGAAATGTTACGGACACATTGAACTCCAACATTTGTAGAAGGTCAACTGAAAAAAGTAAAGAAAATATTGATACATAAATTAAAACAAAATATATAATTCATTGATTAATATTCACTCATTCATTTCACAAAAAAATATTATGCAAATATGAATTATTTTGTAAAAGTTATTCAAAGCTATCATTTTTTTTTAATATACACATAAAGCAAATGCATTAAAATAAATAAATAAAACTTACCAATAAATACAAATATCTGGTGATGAGAATATCGCAATAACATTGATATAGATACGGTCTGAAAATAAAAAATTGCACAATCAATTAAGTTTAAATCTGATTTGTTTGTGTATGGATCTTGTATAAAACCATAAAAATAATCTTTATTAATACTACAATAAAACGATATTTAGTTAAGAAAAGAAATCTAAAATTTTGTTCAATAAACAGAACTACACCAAACAAATGTAGAAGCACTAAGGAGAGTGGGAGATGAAAGAAGACTACTGAGCATAATTGTAAAAAACATAGGAAACTGAATCATATCCTTATTGCAAATAACTAATAATTCACAAAAATGCACTTTTCTATGTTTTTGTATTTTTTTGGACCAACATCATTCATTTAATACTTTTATAATACGTAATTAAAAAATGTATACAGACCTAAATTTTCACCCTCCTTCCACAAACCTCTATTTCGTAATAGTCATTTTAGTAATAAAATAATTATTAATCCCGCTTTCATTCAATGAATGTTTTTCACTAAATTACAAATAAGATTCTCTTAAACTTATGGAAATGCTTAAATATAGTTTTAAAAAAAACTATTTTTAATTATTGTTTGTCCACCCTTAACGTTTTTAAAATTTTGGGTCCAATATTCTTTATTTCATTTTTCAAAACAAAATTCAAAAACTCATAGGCACTAAATATTCACCCTCCTTCTACAAATCTCTATTTCATAATAGTCATATTATTAATAGAATAATTATTCCCCAATTTCAGTCTTTACAAAATTTTAATTCAGATTGACTTGAGCTTTTGGAAAAGCTTAAATTTATTTCCTCTATCCGCTGGAATATTTTCAATACAATTCTTCAATATTGGCAATGGAAAAGTTACCATTGATAAAACTAGATGCCTCAAATTGTCCATAGATTCTTGCATAATCTGATTCGCAAGATTATTGTACAAATATTTTCCTATGTGCACACACATAGTTTATGAATGGTTAATATTAAGTTAGTTTAATATTAGTTAATATTAAGAGCTGAAACTAGAGAATTTTTTTTATCAATTTGAAATCATTGGAGCCCTTGGGAGCAAGAAAATTCGAAAATGACCATATTAAGGACCACCCTAATATATTAGGTTGTCAAATATCTCCCTTCCGCTTTTTGCTCTTGGTTTATAATACAAAAAGGCGGAAGGGAGATATTTGACAACCTAATATATATACATACTCGTATATATAAACATTCGTAATATTGAAATTTTTTTTTTTAAAAAAAAAGAATAAATAAATGCAAGTAATACGCTATTTAAAAGCAAAGGTTCAATGCAAACAACTTGGTAAAAATGCCAGAAATGTGCTGATAAGAAGCAAGAGGTAATATTTTTCTTTATTTACTTTGGTTAGATAATCGTATGGTGTATTGAACATTCGAGTATAAACCTAGTGTGATTCATGGTTATCATTATGAGACAAACACTCAAATCACAAATTAAATAAAACCAAAATGATGAGTAACTTACAAAGACAAGCATTATAAAAAATGCTGCTAGATATGCTGATCTTCCCATCCACATGCTTACAAATCTATAGTGCTCTCCAGTGACTACATTTCTGTAAAATAATCATTGTTTATATTATTTCACTATAATTTGTTATTAAAATATATTATTCAATTATATTATAATAAAAATGCATTCAAAGAGCCATGTCTTATTTATCACCTTAAATATCCTTTATTATCTTCATGTTCGGCAAGTGCCTTAACACTGGCCATCAGCAAATCATCATAACCAAGAAATTCTTCCAGCAATATCCTACTGAAAGCGTCACCAAAACATTGGTCATTGACAGGATCAAGTAATACGCGTTTAACTGGCACTCCTAGACGTTGTCGGGCGGCTGTGCTCAATCTCAAAAATCCATATTCCAAAGAATACTCTACTATGTATTGATCCTCTGGCCAGTCTGGTGGTAATAATATGATTGAATCCATTTTATTTTCATAAGACAGTAAAATAATAAAAATAAGATATTTCAAATAATAAAACAGTCAAATCTTTAGTTTGAATTTCATGTTACAAAGTAAGGTGCCAAGATAGAGATAAGACAAGATTAATGGAATATTGAAATATATTATTTAAAAACATTCATAACATTATAAGAAATGCAGCAAAAAATTGTAGGCTTATCAGTGATATAATTTTGAGCTATATTATATTAAATATATATATATATTAATAAATACTTTCATAAAAATCTTAATGAAAAAGCTTCACATGAACTTATTTATGTTTAATAATAATATAATGTTAGCATATAGCTACAATGACAATAATTTATCACTAACCATTTTTTGTCACAATGTGCAATGAAGGATTTTCATTTGTTAATGGCGAATTGTCAATAACTTCGTCATGTTTCCCAAAATGACCCATAGTTTCATTTGCTAATAAAGTTTGCATAATTCCTTCATTAGCTCCATCCTCTGTTAACTCACTAGTAGGTAAATCTGGATTTATAGTTGATCTTGCAACTATGATATTGTAAAAATATGGTGCTTGTCTAATCTTAGAAGCATTATCTGAGTGAGATATAAATGCACTATGTGAATTTTGCTCCCGATCAACTTTTGTTGAAGATCTGCAAATAGTAATTTGTTCTAGCAATTTTATTTCAAAATTGTAATATTAAATAATAAATAAATAACATACTCCTGGATGGAATTAACACCATTAATAGCCAGTTCAGTCTCCTTTTGTTCATTATAAGCTTTTTGACTACTCATATCTCCACGAATTATTTCAACCCGTAAAATACCATCTCTTGGCCAGTCAGCCCGTACAGATTCTAAACATGTTGCAGGATGTCTTGAGAATGCAACATGAATGTAAACCAAAATAAAAAACGCCGTCAGCGCTTTTAATAGTATAAAAAATTCAATAAATCTTCGAACTGGCTTTGGCAGCATTTGAGCATAAGCCAAAGCAGCTCTGAAGAATAAGGCATGGAAAAGCCTATCACGAACATTAAATAACGGATTCTGATTATTATTATTCCGAGTTCTGTTTATATTGTTGACAATTGCTCCTCCAGGAACGATATTATTTTCAAGGTTTATTTCAGCAGGAATATCTGCATTATCATTCAAACCAGTCCTGTAATGATCAGAATTACTATTGCCTGTATCAGACATCCTTGGTAATTATTCCTTCTAATTTTCTTATAGACTTATATCTATATTGATTTTGAATTACCATCATTTGAGTCTAAAATGAAAATTTTATTGAAAAATACAGAATGACTTTGAACCGAATTAGCCAACAACATTGACATTATTAATGAATTTTTTGAAACTAAAACTCACTAAACAACAAATCGTTTATGTTGCTGAATAACAATGCATTTATTGGTCCTGCAACGAACAAATTTTATCACGGTAATTGCTAATTGCATTATAATTATCACAAACTGTTTCGATCCTATTTTTTATTCTTCAATTGAAACAAATCATAGATGACATAAGAAAATCTACGGTAGAAATTGTTCATTTGACAGTTCACTCAACAACAGAATGACATTGTGATACTTGATGATCCCCGCAGCAAGCGTTGACATTTCACAAAGTGCAGGCTCACTCTTGCCAACATATTTCATGTTGACAAGAAGACACGACAACCGAAAATGATCGACAGATCGACTGAACATTTTTGAAAGAAATGTCGAATGACATTGTTGGTATCGCGCAGTTTTATTTTTCTCTGGACATAGTTGCCAATTTTACCCTTACCCTCCTTTATTTATCCACAGATAAATAAACATAATGCTCTTATCTATTGCGTTTGTCCTCTTAGACAATAATAATATAGACCGTTATGTTTAGAATTTCACTTTCTTTATATTTTCGTTCAGCGCTAGGGTTAGCTTTGCGCTAAAGCGTATCTGACTTGAATGATTCAAAAACCTTGTGGTGCATGGCATCGTGCCTTAAGGCAAATTGCTAAAACTTCCCGTACCGTAACGAAATGTTCGAGGAATTTTGAATGTTTTCAAATAGATTATAAATAAATATATTGTAACATTGTCTAATATTTATAAGAATTATATAAACTGAATTGCGAAGTTGAAATTATTTGTTTAAAGTATATTAGAACTATAGTCAGAATTAAAAATAAAATCTGAATTGTTTTCGATATACAAAAATTAAAAAAAAAAATGAAACAATTTTTTTTTTTCAAAATCAGTTATTTTGTTAAGACAAGCAGAAAGTTCTTTGAATCATTTAAATCGGACGCTTATTAGTTTCTCTCAAAAACTGCCATTTTTTACGCATTTAGCTCTGTATCTTCGAAATGGCTGGGCCTGCCTTTGCCAAAAACTAATAAACACTTTTCCCAATCATTACTAATTGAATGTTTTTTAGATCATTCAAATCGGATGCTCCGTTCCCTCAAAAACTCGATTTCTATTTTCTGCACTGTTTGCTCTTTATCTCCGTAACTGCTGGACCTGCCTTTGCCAAAAAATAATCATCATATCTCCCTACCAATAGGAATTGAATGTTTTTGAACTATTCAAATCGGTTGATCCGTGCGCCCGAAAACGTGACTGCAAATTTGTATCCATACATACATACATACACACACTCGCACACACACACATCCATTTTTTCTGAGGTATGCCAAAATGTTCAGAAACCTTCAAAACGTCGAGAAATGTAAAAATTTTCAATTTCGATTTTCGGCCCATTACAATAACATACCTCACGGGAAGTTAACAATATCAAAACAATATCGCATTGCGATTTAGGACATCGCCGCGCCGAAGTCATTTTTGTTGTATAAAACGTTTATTGAGCGGCTGAGTAATGTCACATTTGCGATTTTTGTCGCGACCTCATTAACACGTTTAATTGCATGTCGAACTGATATTGATGAAACATGAAAACAACGAATTAAATATTACTTTCTGTATCCATACATCCATAAATTTAGACTTTAATAATTTTTTAATTTATTAATGATAGACCATTTATTATGAAATTATATTTATTTGATCATAATATTTAAATACATGTTCTATATATAACATATATATGAGGTACTTAATACTAAATTTTAGTAATATAGGAACAAATTAAAAAAAAAAGAGTAATTTTATTATAAATAAATTAATCTAATAATACATCATTGTTGTCTATTGATTTCCGCTTCATAAATCTCTCATGCCGCTGTCGGGCATACCTCAACCAAGTTGAAACAATTTTTTTCAGCCCTTCTTCTGTCATTTTTGGGTGGATTCCCAATAGAACATCTATTTAAAATGTATCAATATTAATGTTATATTTATATAATATGGTGTAATGTATGATTTATTGATATTTACTTCTAAATAATCTTAAAATTTCTGTTTGGTGAAGTGCCACATTATTTTTATACCCAAACCACGAGCAGTGCATGGCAACTTCATTCGTTAAAACCCTTCTGCAAAAACTTTTAATCAGTTGCTTCGGTTTCTCTCCAAGTTTTATAATGAAGGTTTTCTAAAATAATCATGTATATGCAAAATTAGAGAGTGTGTGCGTATATGTAAAAATTTATAGTAGAACAACTTACAAATTCTGCACATAACTGAGAATCACTCTTGAGTCGCTCTTCTAGTGACTTAAGCTCTCCCAGTGATTTTATTGGCAACACGTAATCGAAAGAACTTGAATTATTGACGTCAAAATCAACAACCATATTCTTATCATGTTTCATGGCTTGCAGCAAGCAAACCATGCGCCCATTTAAAGTTGAAATGGCATTTTCCATCCTTCTTTGTGACTCCAATATAGTTCTAATAAGTTCTAAAATAGCAGCATATTAAAAATAAATTTTATCATATGTATGATATTTAACTAACCTTCATTGGACGTGTTGCCAATTGTTTCGACTGGAGTTACTGCCTGCTCTGCAGGCATGGCTGCCTCTTGAGCAGGCACGGCTACCTCCCCCTAAGTAGTCTCGGCTACTTCCTCCCCAGCTGAAGCGGCTCCTTTCTCCCAAGCTGAAGCGACTCCTTCCTCCCCAGCTGAAGCGGCTCCTTCCTCCCCAGCTGGAGCGGCTCCTTCCTCCCCAGCTGGAGCGGCTCCTTCCTCCCCAGCTGGAGCGGCTCCTTCCTCCCCAGCTGACGCAGCTGCTTCCTCCTTCAGCAGGTTGTAGGTAGCTATTAGAAGTACCAAGTAATTGCTTAATAAAGATGAATATTAAGATACATCTATAGATCTAAGATAATTTACCTGGCATTCGTATGCCTGAGTTTTCTTTTAAAAACTTAAAATTAAACCCATCAGCAAGATCTGCAAATAAAGGATAATTTGTTAAATTCACAATATTAGTAGAGTATTATGTCAGTGTAGTACCTTCATAATTAGATTGCTCATCAGAAGATAGAGATAGCATCTTCCTCTTCTTCTTCCTCAATCCTCTTCCCAACTCTTCAGTAGACGTATATTCTACATCTTTAGCGTGCCTCCTTGCTGACTCATATGTATCTGAAATAAATATTATTTCGAATAAATACCACTTGACACTTTCTAACATACTCTAAACTTTATCTTTACCATAAAAAGCACAGAATCGCACGTCCCTGCGCTAGCAATCACTTTTATTAAAGTCAGCCCGATGCTTCATCAGCGCCGAAACATTTTTAACATGCCTTCATGGCCACCACGCTTTCTTTATATCATCGGTGTCATAATTTTTAATAATTAACCATTTGGTCGGAATCTCCGACGGAAATGTCGACACGGTTTCACCGCTACGGGTTATAATATACTACGGCAAATGGTTTCAGGATACTACAAAAAAAAGCAATGTCCATTGAACATGAAGTAATTCAATATGCACATAAATGAAATATATACTTACGGAGCCATTTTCTTCTAAATCGACTGTAACAAACAATATAATAAACACGAGAACTTCTGCCTCTTCGAAACTTTAACAAGATAAAACGAATTTAAAAAAAGGGAAATTTGTGTTCCCAGCCGGCTCCACTGATGCCGAAATAAATGCTCCCTCTTCTGTATGGAAGTCTCCCTCCACCCCTCCAGACGCAACAATCATATCTGCCTCCTGCCCTGCAGACCCCAAAGCCTCCTTCTCCGCGTACACCAAATCCTCCTCCTCCACATACATCAAATCCTCAACAGCTTACACTCCTTGCATTGGAGCATCTGCGAAACCTCCACTTGTAGTAGCTGCATTAAGAACAAATTTGTTTATATATGTAAACAAATATTTATTATGATTATAATTTTTTTTATAAATTTACCTTTTACGTTGAAGCCTGAATTGGACCTCAACAATTTCCAATCAATGAAATCAGGAACACTTGCTACAGCTGCACCTGCACGTTATAATAATATAAAAATTGAACTATTTTGAAAATGTAGTAGTTTATTACCTTACTATCAGAGGTGTCGCTCTCTGATTCCGATAGCACAGCAGCCTTTCTTTTCCTAAAACCCCGGAATCTTCAGCGTGTTTCCTCGCCGACATATATGTCTGGAACAAATATCAAAGTTAAGATATCTTCCAACACTTTAATACTTCACATTTAGAAGTTATTTCTTACCATACAACCCGACAAATGCCTTCATTTATTTCCTTTCTAACTCATACCGATTTGTTAACGGGAGTTTGCTTCGCCGCTAGCGAGGTAACGCGATACTTCAAATGTTCAGGGGGCCACCACGTTTCTGTAATGTTATCGGTATAACTTATTATTTTATTTTCGGTGAAGGTTTTTTAAATTCCCATTTTTTTTAATTTAAATATTTTTTTTTAATATTTCTTTAATGATTTCAATTTTAAGTTTAATCCATGATAAAGTCCTTAAGCTGACTTATATACTTGAAGTAATTAATTTAACATTCAATTCAATTAATATAATTCTTAGAAATATAAGATATATGATCTCTTGTTCTAACTCCGCTTTAAAGTTCTCTTTATTTACTTTTCATATAAACATATATGAACGTCGTATTTCAATTCTTAAATAAGTTCTTATGTTTATAAAATACGCATAAAAAAAGTTACAGTATTTATAATAATGTATTTCGAAGGATTTAATATTCCTCGAATATTTTATACAGAAAGTTCCAGCAATTTGCTTTGAGGCATGAGGATGCACCACTGTGCTATAGTACTATTTTGTTATTACAAGAAAACGGCTCGGTAGATTTTCACCTAAAACTAATCAGTATCATTCCCAACTAATATCTTTCGAACAGTTTTTGATGTTTCAAAATCGATTCGGTAGTATGATCCAAATTACAAAAAAACGACTCGGCCAATCGTCGCACAAAACTGATAAACGATAATCCTCATCGAGAGACATCAAATGGCTTTTAAATTTCTGAAATCAGTTCAGGCGGTTTTGAGCAAACCTCGATGAGAGGCCTAATTTTGACAAATGCCAAAAAAGATACTAATTTTTGCAAATTTTGACGCATTTTTAAAGTTAAATGAGTTACCGTAGGGCCGTAATATTTTAGAGTGATCATTCTAAATCATATCTATAAGACTATGGGGCATCCACAGCCAAAAAAATAATAATAAAAATCGTAAATTTTTTTTTAACACTATTACAAGAAAACGGCTCGGCCGATCTTTATCAAACACTAATCAGGTCGAATCCCAACCAATAATTTTCAAAATCGATTCAGAATTGCGGGCTAAAACGTGGATGAATTTTTTTTCACTTTTCTGCTATTTATAAAGAAACGGCTGATATACAATAGTCCTCATCGAAATGCATCGAATGGCTTTTAAATTTTTGAAATCGGTCCAGACGTTTTTGAGAAAACGTCGATTTTGGCAAAAAAATCTGTGCACACACACATACTTTTCCAAGTTTGGGGTCTCATTCGATTTAGAATGGCTTGAAACGTCGAGAAAACATAAAATTAGCAAATCTGATTTTTTTATGAAAACATAAAATTTTACTGCTAATAAACGAGAAGTTAATAAACAGGAATACATTTTTCTATATTTAAAATCTTTTAAACGTATTTTTTGTTCAAAGTGTACTATTATATATGCTTCATCTGTAAATATTAATTAAATATGCATATGTATAATGATAAATATATATAAAATAAATGCCTTATATTGTTTACTAATATTATTAAAATATTTGTTTCTGTTTTGTTTGTTATGAAACGTTTGTTTCAAATGTTGTTCTTTTAGTATAACATTTATTACCGTTTTTTCGTATTGAATTAAATGATAAGTATGCTGAAATATGAACATATTTTTTTTAGATAAAATTTACTTACTATGCATAAATTAAAAACGATATGAATAGTACATATTCATAATACATGTAAGTTGCATGTGAAAATAAGAAATTAGAATGGTTTAAAAACTTTAACTTTAAATTAAGAAAAGTAATATTTAACCCTCTACATTGCTTTATGTAAAAAAATTGAGAAAACAATTTATTACTAAAACATCATTTTTTATTAAAACAAGTAATTACATGTTTGAACAAAGTTTTTGGTATTCATGAATTATGTGACTTAAGTTAAGCAACCTATAGCGTTTGCACTCTGTGTATGAAAATGTTATTTCAGATTGAAAAGTCTAGCGATAGTCATAAGTATTTATAATGTTTGTCTTGATATCACCTCACAAAAAGCCATAATTATTTGGTAGTATATAGTTATTAATATTAAATTTTGAAAGCGCTATCGGTGGCTATTCCATGTGTTTTTGTTACAACATCTATTTGAAATATCAAGAGTCATACATATATATACATATACATACATATATATATATATATATATATATATATATATAAATATATATATATATATATATAAATAACACAAAAATAATTCAAAAAATCCTAAGCAATTTAAAACAATGTTAACTGAGCATATTAAAAATTTAAATCATAATATCGATTTTTTTAACCCTAAAATTTTACATTTTGAAGAGAATACAATTAAAAGAAGATTCGCTGAGGGGTTGTTTTTACAATTACATAACGACAGAGTCATAAATAAACGCAATGACAATACGGCCCTTATCGAAACGAACACGTGGTTTCTTAATAGTGTGTCAAAATTCCTTAAAAAATAACAAAATCCCATCGCCTTTTAAATTTTCCAAAAAATATCAACACATGCTAAAAACTGCTTTGAGAAAAATGTGACATTTCTATCCTAAACTCCAAAGAGTAAATACATAGTTTCGACAACTTATTAAGTTATCATGATTATTAGTGTGTTTTACCATTTGTGATGTTTGTGTTAAAAAATATATATCTTATCAATGTGCACATACTCATACCATGGATTAATAATGGTTTCATATGCTATATTAGGATACAAAATTGTAAGTGTTTTATTACTATTATTATTATTATTGTTTTTCCACAAAATTTCCTTTCATATAATTTATTTAGTTTCAATTTTTATAGTTAACTTGATTACCACTGAATGATGGCTAAGATGCTAGCCGAAACGTATGGATTTTAAATAAATAAATTTAAAAAAAAAACTCATACTATTTTTATTGATGTTACGCCTGATTATTAAACTCAAATTAAACATATATATCAACATCAAATTCAAGACTATTCAAAAATATATATATATATACAGTAGAATCCGATTAGTATGACGCCGGATATATTGACAACCGCTTATTATGACGTAATTTTAAAGGCAGTTTGGTTTCCATATAAAATTTCTTAAAAAAACAGCTGTCTAGTCGGATATGTTGACCTCGCTTACATTGACATTTCGCTTATAATGACCCATTTTTGAAAAAAAATTTGGTCCAAGTATAATGACCGACATGATTTTACACCTCCGATAACATAGAGTTCATGTTTTTCATTGCACATTGTTATGGTATGGCACCACTGTGAACTACCCTTGTGTGTCAGGTCGCTACATACCTACCTACATACCCACAGGTCTCTATGTTGCACGAGATTCGCGCTATGGAAACTTTGGCAACTTCCGGCATGGACGACCTCGTGCAAAAAATAAGTAGGCTCATTCTTGGTGTTCAAAATTTGGAAGCGATAACATCTGCTATAATTTACTGAATTAGTAAAGTTCTATATTTTTTACTATTTTTACCCAGTAATTAAAACTCAAACAAAAATTACAGATTTTTTACATTAAAAAATGCATTGTTATGTCATATTTTTAATTAAATTTGTCAATTTGTTAGTATGTGTCATTTTTTACCTTAATTTTTGTATTAAATTACTGAAATTAATAACATATTCGCCAAAAATTGTTTTTTTTTTCAGTACGCTTAGTATGACGACCGCTTAATATGACGATTTTTCGCCGTCCCTTGAATGTCATACTAAGCGGATTCTACTGTATATATATATATAAATAAATATATATATATATATAAATATATATATCTTTTATACTTGCCTCTCTGAACAATTTCATGATGGTCAACTCATGAACTGCTATATTATTTTTCAAGCCAAGCCATTAACATTGCATTTCTCATCAATCTCGTGCACACATTTGCTATGTGTGCCTATGCAGTTATGCCCCCAACTTTCATTACAAAGAGTTGCTAAAACAATAATGAAAAAAAGATAAGTGTGTACATGCATATATAAATATAAATATTACATTCTAAACATATATACAGATATATAAATATCTACTATATTTATACTAGAGGAGACTTACAAATTCTGTACAAAACTCAGCATCATCTTTCAGACGCGATTCTAAATCATTCATCTCGTCGACCGTTCTCAGTGGCAGCATTAAATCTATATTTTTGTGTAATGACACATCAATTGTTTGTTTTTGACATTACCTCTAACTTTTGTTCCTAAATTGGATTCTAGGTACTGTAAGTTGAAACCAGTATCCACACAATCTGATTCATATAGAGCAATATCTACATAGTAATGATTATATCATTATTTTAACATAATCAAATGTAATTTATGATTTATAATTTTACTCCTTTATTACCTTCATCATACGACGTATATGAGGCCTCTGATGTCCACACAACTTCCTTCTTCTTCCTTTTACCCCGGCCCAACTCTTCATTGGAAGTGTATTCTTCATCTCCTGCATGCCTCCTTGCAGAGATGTAAGAGTCTAGAATAAATATTTAGATGAAGCAGCCCTTAAGACTTCAATGCCAAATTAAAACTCATTCCTCACCATAGAATGCCTTAAAAACTACTGTTTCTCGCGTCCATGTTTTCCGATCTATGGACGCTTTTCTCTTTACCATCGATGTCTTTAAACCTAGGTGGCCACCAAACTTCCTTGATGGACCCATCATCGTTAAAGATCAGCCACTCTTTGGGCACCTCGCAGGTGCTGCCAGCCATTAAAACGTGTCTATGCCAATAATACATTCTAATAATTAATAATATATATCATGTAGAATTTTAAATAATGGCTTGATATCTATAATTACTAAGCAAAATTCAATGTCATAAATTATTGTTAATTCAATACATTTATGATCTGAACAGAGTAACATTTTTTGTTTTTATGCCGATAGTACAATTATATCAAATATAATTATAACAAATAATATACTGAATATATAGTAAAATCTTAAGTAAATAAATCTTTGTATAATATTCTAACACAATAATCATTAACTTAATATAAAATAAATAAATTTAATTGAAATTGATTTTTATTATATATTTATCTAGTATTGTATGTATATACAATAATCAATTGCTAAGATACATCAAGCATATATGACATACTGTCCCCAAATTTAGAGGTTTTCTAAAACAATTATGAACATAATGTATTTGTTACCAAATAATATACACACGGCAACCATATATGAATCGACTTACATATTCAGGAGATAGATCCTCAATAATGTATGTGTAGAACATTATTTAAACCTGCCTAAAGATCTGCATATGTTGATCGTTTCATTCCAATCCTGCACGACTTCTGAAATAATTATGAACATAGCATGTGTTTGCAGCTTATATATATTTCTATAGCTATTATATTTATAGTGACTTACATATTCAGACAATCAACCTCGAGCCGCTTCTCCACCGACTAATTTAGGAAATTTAAGAAGTGAGGTTATTATGTCGAACACATTGATATGTTAATGTCCTAATGTGGTAAAATAATTATTTTAACCTTGCTAAACGATCCTTATTATTGTCCTCAGATTTTGTAAGATATGATATTTGGTAACCTTCGTCATCTAAAGAAATCGACATAAAATAACGTTTCTTCATCCCAAAGTAATGTACTAAATGGAATTCAAAATCGTGAAGTAATTACATATCTATATAATATATAAGCTCTTTTCATACTTACAATTGAATTAAATATATATATATATATATATATATATATATATATATATATATATATATGCAAACAATATTATATTATGATAGTATAATTATATTCCCAGAATAGGCGTATACAATTTGTATCTTTATGTAAAAAGCAATGTATGTATTCAAGTTAAATAAAGCAAATTTTCAAATTAAAAATTAATTATATAAATAATATATGATATACTTACGGTGTCATTTTTCTACACTTTTTTACAATTATCGATATAAACAAGTTGCTTAACTAAATGAATGTAATTATTATACTAAACAAAATATGACTTGAAACTTGACAAATTCGTGACATTTTGTGTGTTCTGTTAAGGTGCGTCCACACCTAACGAACTAGTGTGGACGCCACGACCATAGATAAGTAAACATAAATAGATCGCTATCTGAGGCCATTTGACATTACCGCCATTTTAATATTTTTAGCGATCTGAAGAAGGCAGCACTTGTTCAGTATATAAATCAACCGCTGGTATTATTCCTAGATATGGTTCGCATACGTAATTCAAAATAAGAAAATCTAAATAATTTCTTATATTGGAAATGAGAAAAAAAAAACATACGAAGTACAAAATATATTTTCAAATATATCACAAACATTTTTACATAACAATTAAAATTTTTATAAATGCAATAATCAATATATACATAATAATAAGTATTATAATTTTACAATTATAAGTAACTAAAAAAAGTATTCACAATGGTATGATAAATTTACAAGGAACAATCAATATGAATTATTGAATGATCAATAATATATAACAACTACACAGAAATATTGTAAAAGTTTTCATAAGTATAATGAATTTACACGAACTGACTAATATTAATTTCTTAATGACTAATATTAATATATTAAAAAGAGAAGAAAAAAGTATAGAGTCTAAGTATGTAGTATATAGAGTATATACTAAAGATAATGGAATAGTATAATTAGAAGAAATGACAAATAATGAACAAATTTAAAAAGTTAAATCCTACAGACATAAAATATATATATTGATATCAAAATTGATAGAAAACTAAATTCCAAGAATTAAAATTTATTTATGAGTCATGCTTCTTTAACATTAACTTTGCATTTGATAGTTATTTTGCTTTCCAATCAATCATTAAAAAAGTTGCATTCTACAATATCTTGAATTTCTTATGATTCGATTGTGTCAATAGAACAGTGCAGCAGTCCTTTCGGCTGGAATGTTAAAAATATTTCTGAGCATTTTATACTCTGTTGCAATTTATACCTTAAACTATTGCATTGTTTGTCTATCCTTCTTAACTCCCTCAACATATAATGGATGTGTCATACATTTTACATGCCCTTGGAATGAAGACACTCCTATCCTTAGTCACTAGATTCTGCTGCAATTTGTATCCCCAAGAACATCTAATAAACATAACATGTTGTAATATAATATCAAGTCGTAATAGCAAATAGTATTAAAATATTCAGAATTATTATTATGGCGAATACAAAATGGCGAATGGCAAATCTAAGCGATCCATTTTGACGTTTTACATATTTAGTAACAACATCTTTTTTTCGGCATCAAGACACTCCTATCCTCAGTCACTAGATTCTGCTGCAGTTTGTATGCCCAAGAACATCTAATAAACATAACATGTTGTAATATAATATCAAGTCGTAATAGCAAATGGTATTAAAATATTCAGAATTATTATTACCTTTTCCACTGGAGTTGCAGAGTGTTCTCCTGGTCATTATAGACATGAGAACTATTCTGTGAAATATAATTGTACATTTCTAATTTGTTCACTTCATAAAGCCGGAAAGAGTGCATTTTTATATTATTTCTGAAGTTACCACAAGTTGGTGGGTTACATTTTGCCATATTAAATTTCACATAAATGCTTACTTGAATACAATTAATTACAGAAACAACATCGAACCACAAATTTTGATACAAAATGGCGAATGGCAAATCTAAGCGAGTAATTTTGACATTTGAAACCATCACATTTTGAAACTAGTAGCGACATCTTTTTTTCGCTAAAAATAGTAGTCCTTTCCAAAACAGGGTAATATACATTTGTTCGGAGATAACTCCCCATGGCCACGACCATAGATAAACAAGTATAAACGGCCACGACGATCACGAACGAACATAAACAAACATGGCGAGCAATGTTCCACAACTTGTCGGTACATCAAAGGGAATTAATTGTTCGTTCATGTTTGAACCCGTATTTTTTTTTTGATGTTAAAATGTGCAGTCTTGCATTAGTTTTAAATTTTATTGAAAAAAAATGCTTTCTTTATTTTGACATATTTTGGAAATTCTGAACTGTTTTTCAAAGTAATCGTACTGCTTGAACTGCATAGAGACGAAATGTCAAAGCGCGTAATTGCCGCGCCGCCGTAACGGATAAGCATTGGTACGGAACCCATATAAATGTAAAAAAAAAAATACTTATTGTTAAAATCTTTATAAAATATCTTATCATTTGATGTGCATATGTCCCGTATCTTCGCAACGGCTAGACCTGCCTTCGCCAAAAACTAATCAGCACGTCTCTTTATCAATACGGATCGAATGTTTTTTGAACTATTCAAATCGGTTGATCGGTGTTTCCGAAATCGTCGACGAAAATTTGTATCCGCACATACATACACACACGCGCACACACACACACACACATACATCAATTTTTTCTAAGGTATGCCAAAATATTCAGAAACCTTTGAAACGTAAAGATATATAAAAATTTTCATTTTAGATTTTTTTGCGATTACTATAACTTGCCCTACGGGAAGTTAAAAATATACACAAAGATTGTAGAATAAAAAATATAAAAAATTTAAGTAAAGGATCTTCACCATACCCAGTTATATCTCTTGTCAATAAATGAGATACATGTAGATTAATTAAGATTCCACATTTTTCAACATTTTTTTTAGTGAATAAGCCAGTCATGTATCTATTAACTTGAACATTCAGTAAACTGCTACACTCTTCTTCAATGGAAATAGACACATTACATTTAAACTAGACTCATACATTGATCAAAGCTTTGCACAATAATAACAATTCCAACAAATTAGTCACACATTCTTTACGAAACTCACAATTGGCATAGTAAGATTATATTGACAAGGCTTTTGTAGAACCCAATTAATACACTGCAAGATAGATATCGATTATTAAACCAGTGACTTCTGATACTACAAAAAAATGTAGATGGTCTTGGTTAAAACTATGAGTCAGCAATAATTTTTTTGGATACTATTTGCTGCCAAATGAATTCAAAACCCTTAGTGTTTTAATCTAATTTTGAATAGTTGGAGAACTTTGGAATCAATCGTCTTTTTTATAGAAACTTATCGATTAGGGGGCATCCATTAATCACGGAGCGAGGTTTAAGGATTTGTGTGTGTGTGTGTGTGTGCGGATACAAATTTTCGTCGACGATTTCGGGAACACCGATCAACCGATTTGAATAATTCAAAAAACATTCGAGTCGTATTGATAAGGAGACGTGCTGATTAGTTTTTTGCGAAGGTACGTCTGGCCGTTCCGAAGATAAAAAATGCCAAAAATGGTAACTCGGTTTTTAAGAGAACGGAAAAGAAGAATGTCATTTGGCGGTCAAAAATGATCATTAGACATATGCACATTAAGTTATCAGATATTTTATAGACATTTTAACAATAAGTAGAAACTTTGTTTACATTCCTATGGGTTCCGTACCAATGTTCATCCGTTAGACGGCGACGCGGCGCTTACGCGCTTTGACATTTCGTCTCTATGCAGTTAAAGCAGTACGATTGCTTTGAAAAAAAGTTCAGAATTTCCAAAATGTGTCAAAATAAAGAAAACATTTTTTTTTAAAAAAAAAATTTTTTTTAAAAAAAAAGTAATTTTTTGTCAAATTTATAGTTTCTCAAAAATCTAATTTTTTTGAAGTAATTTTTTTCAACAATGTTAATTTAAAAAAAAAAAAATAATTTTTGGTACGGAAAGTTCCAGCAATTTGCCTTAAAAGGCACGATGCCATGCGCTCCACTAGTTTATTAACTTCCCGTAGGGTAAGTTATAGTAATCGTCCAAAAATCGAAATCAAAAATTTTTACATTTCTCGACGTTTTGAAGGTTTGTGAACATTTTGGCATACTTCAGAAAAAATGGATGTGTGTGTGTGTTTTGTATGTCCGCTTTTTTTCGTTCACGTTTTCGGGCGCACGGATCAACCGATTTGAATGGTTTAAAAAACATTCGATTCCTGTTGATAGGGAGATGTGCTGATTAGTTTTTGGCAAAGGCAGGTCCAGCCGTTACGGAGATATGGAGCAAAGAGTGCAAAAAATAGAAAGCGAGTTTTTGAGAGAACGGATCAACCGATTTGAATGGTTTAAAAAACATTCGATTCCTATTGATAGGGAGATGTGCTGATTAGTTTTTGGCAAAGGTAGGGCCAGAGGTTTCGGAGATACAGAGCTAAATGTTAAAAAAATGGCTGTTTTTGAGAGAACTAAGCGTCCGATTTAAATGATTCAAAGAACTTTCTGCTTCTTTCAACAATATAATTGATTTTGGAAAAAAAAATTTTTGTTTCTAATTTTTTTTTCAAAATTTTTTTTTTGTAATTTTGGATTAAAAATTCAAAAAATCACCCAGGCTAAGCACAGTCTAAGCGCCACTCTGGTAGAAATGTTTACGCAAGTGCGTTTAGACTGTTTATGTACTGGAGCACTTTTCCAATTTTGTGAAAATTATTGAAAAATGTGAAAATGCCGCCAAGCTAAGCATAGTTTTTTTTTTTTTTTTTTTTTTATTTCTGTTAATTTTAACAATCAGATTACAATACAATCTATAAGTTAAAAGTTATGGTATTGAAAATCAAAATCAAAAAGAAGAAAAAAAAAAATAATAATAAAAAAATAAAAAAAAAATAGAATAAAGGAAATTAAAGAAAAGAAATAGAATAAATGAATGAATAAATAATAATTAAAATAATAGTATTAATAATAAAAACGATAATCAAGCATAGTATAAATGAAAATGTCGCACAGAATTATTTGCAAATGCGTTTAGACTGTGACTATGCGGGAGCACTTTTTCAATTTTGTGTAAATTTAGCAACTATTTTTTTTGAAATTTAATTCGAAATGAAATGACGATTGTTAATGTTATGGAGATGATAAATTGATTTATTTATAATTAACTTCTCGTAGAGCAAGTTATAGCAATCGCAAAAAAATCGTTTTTTTTATATCTTTACGTTTTAAAACCTTCTGAATATTTTGGCATGCCTTAGAAAAAATTGATGTATGTGTGTGTGTATGTGCGTGTGTGTGTGTGCGTGTATGTGTGTGTGTTCGAATACAAGTTTTTGTCGACGATTTCGGTTACACAGATGAAGCGAATTGACTAATTCAAAAAATATTCGATTTGTATTGATAAGAAAACGTGCTGATTAGTCTTTAGCGAAGGCAGGCCTAGCCGTTCCGAAGATACGGGGCAAAAAGTGCCAACAACGGTAACTCAGTTTTTAAGAAAACGGAGCGTCCGATTTGTATAATTTAAAAACATTTTACTTGCATTATCAAGATGAAGATTTGATCAAATTTTCATGAAAATAGGTCTAGCGGTTTCGGAGATCTAGTAAAAAAAAATAAAAAAAAAATAACATTTGGCGGTCAACAATAATCATTAGACATTAGACATATGCATATCAAATTATCAGATATTTTATAGAGATTTTAACAATAAGTGTAAGTTTTGTTAACATTCCTATCGGTTCCGTACCAATGCTTATGCGTTAGACAGCGACGCGGCGCTTACGCGCTTCGATATTTAGTCTCTATGCATTAAAGCAGTACGATTGCTTTGAAAAAAAGTTCAGAATTTCCAAAATATTTCAAAATAAATTTTTCAACAAAAAGTAAGTTTTTGTCAAAAATTTATATAGTTCCTCAAAAATCTATTTTTTCAGAGTAAATTTTTTTCAAAAATGTTAATCTTTTAAAAAAAAAAATTTTTGGTACGGGAAGTTCCAGCAATTTTATCTTAAGGCACGATGCCATGCGCCCCACTAGTATTTGTATGGGCTCCGTAGCTATGTTTACCCGTGGACAGCAATCCGGTGTTCACGCGCTTTGTTTTCGTCTCTAAAACAGCTACGCAGTGCGATTGCATTGAAAAAAGTTCATAATTTAAAAAAAAAATCAAACTAGCTGTAAGTGGAATTCTGTCTTAAGGCAATTAAGGCATCGTGCCTTAAGGCAAATTGCTGGAACTTCCCGTACCAAAAATTATTATTTTTTTAAAAACGATTAACATTTTTGAAAAAAAAATTACTTTGAAAAAATAAGATTTTTGAGAAACTATAAATTGGACAAAAAATTACTTTTTTTTGAAAAAAAAATTAAAAAAAAAAAAAAAATTTATTTTTTTTTTTGTTTTTTTTTTTTTGAAAAAAAATTTTCTTTATTTTGACATATTGTGGAAGATCTAAACTTTTTTTCAAAGCAATCGTACTGCTTTAACTGCATAGCGACAAAATATAAAGCGCGTAAGCGCCGCGTCGCTGTCTAACGCATAAGCATTGGTACGGAACTCATAGGAATGTTTAACAAAATGTATACTTATTGTTAAAATCTCTATAAAATATCTGATAATTTGATGTGCATATGTCTAATGATCATTTTTGACCGCCAAATGACTCATTTTTTTACTTTTTCCTCCATATCTCCGAAACCGCTAGACCTACCTTCATGAAAATTTTATCGATTCTTCATTTTGTCAATACAAGTGAAATGTTTTTTGAATTATTCAAATCGGACGCTCCGTTCTCTTAAAAACTGAGTTACCGTTTTCGGCACTTTTTGCCCCGTATCCTCGGAACGGCTAGACCTGCCTTCGCCAAAAACTAATCAGCACGTCTCCTTATCAGTACGAATCAAATGTTTTTTGAATTATTCAAATCGGTTGATTCGTGTTCCCGAAATCGTCGACGAAAATTTGTATCCGCACATGCATACACACACGTACATACATACACACACACATACACACACACACATCCATTTTTTCTAAGGTATGCCAAAATGTTCAGAAACCTCTGAAACGTAAAGATATATAAAAATTTTCATTTTCGATTTTTTTGCGATTACTATAACTTGCCCTACGGGAAGTTAAAAATAAAACTAGCTGTAAGTGGAATTCTGTCTTAAGGCAATTAAGGCATCGTGCCTTAAGGCAAATTGCTGGAACTTCCCGTACCAAAAATTATTATTTTTTTAACATTTTTGAAAAAAATTTACTTCGAAAAAATAAGATTTTTGAGAAACTATAAATTGGACAAAAAATTACTTTTTTTTGAAAAAAAATTTTTTTTAAAAAAAAAAAAAAATTTAATTTTTTTTTTTGAAAAAAATTTTTTTATTTATTTTGACATATTGTGGAAGATCTGAACTTTCTTTTCAAAGCAATCGTACTGCTTTAACTGCATAAAGAGGAAATATCAAACCGCGTAAGCGCCGCGTCGACGTCTAACGCGTAAACATTGGTACGGAACCCATAGGAATGTAAACCAAAATTATACTTATTGTTAAAATCTCTATAAAATATCTGATAATTTGATGTGCATATGTCTAATAATCATTTTTGACCGCCAAATGGCTCATTTTTTTACTTTTTCCTCCATATCTCCGAAACCGCTAGACCTACCTTCATGAAAATTTTATCGATTCTTCATCTTGTCAATACAAGTAAAATGTTTTTTGAATTATTTAAATCGGACGCTGCGTTCTCTTAAAAACTGAGTTACCGTTTTCGGCACTTTTTGTCCCGTATCTTTGGAACGGCTAGACCTGCCTTCGCCAAAAACTAATCAGCACGTCTCCTTATCAATACGAATCGAATGTTTTTTGAATTATTCAAATCGGTTGATCCGTGTTCCCGAAATCGTCGACGAAAATTTGTATCCGCACATACATACACACACATACATACATACACACACACATACATCCATTTTTTCTAAGGTATGCCATAATGTTCAGAAACCTCTGAAACGTAAAGATATATAAAAATTTTCATTTTTGATTTTTTTGCGATTACTATAACTTGCCCTACGGGAAGTTAATTAGAGCTTAAATTAATTTGCTTTAAGACCGATACCGTGCACCACATTTTTTTTAAGTTACAATTGCACAAATTCGTCATCTACAGAGGGCTCGAGATCTGAAGAATATATTTTTCCTAAACTTCCAGCTCGTTTACAAATCTTTCTCTTAGCCAAATTGCCAAATTTGATAACTTATTAATCAAGTTAATAATTTACGTTCAGAGACATAGATAAGTAAACGGTAAAGTTCAGAAAGGTAGTAATCGGGTTTGATGGTGCTATTGTCAAATATCGCTTGACAACCCCGCGCTCATATTGTATTCAAATTAATTGCGCAAAATTTGTGAATGAAAAATAATTAATTTGAACTCAAATTTTTCAAGCATCTTTACAAAGCAGTAGGGGCAGTCATGTAATATAATATATATATACAAAGCTGGATTTTGTAGGCACTAGCCCCTATATTTATTATATATAAACCTGTAAATTAAAATAGTGAACAGTTTGTAACCAAATAAAGGCTTTTATGTCTGCAATAATTGTACAGTTTAATTCAAATTTGTGTCAAAATATTGTGTTGATGTAGGCCCACACCTCTATCATCTAGTTTTTACAAAACGCTGCATCGTGTGAATGAGCTGCTATCCAATCTAAATATGATGTAACTTTTGTGTAAACTCCTGGTAGACCAGGCCGGGCACAGCCAACGCCCCAGGATACGATACCTGTTTTAGTAAAATAAGCGTGAACAACTGTATATAAAATTTAAATGTATATTAGATAAGTCAACAGTTAATTTTATACATATTATTTAACCACCTAATGCAGTGGTGTGCAACTTTTTTTTGTCCCCCCGCTCTAATAAAAAAATTGTTGCGCCCTCTTTAATTTTTTCAAAAAAAATATTTCATAAATAATTTACATAAATAAAAAATCTAGATAATTGAATAAACAAAATAAATAATTAACTGATATTATCAGACTACAAATTAATATGCAATATCATGTGAAAATATTCATAAAAAATTAATTCTTTTTTCGTTTATTTTTTATATTATTTTCCACCCGAAGGGAACCTCTGTCTGTTATGGAGGAGACCTAATGTAATGTGATTTTTTTTTGTTCGACATGACCTATATTAGTAAATATCAGCAGTAAATTCGTTAAAAATAAAATTAAGAAATATTTTTTTATATAAATGTACAAATAATTTTTATATAAATATATATATATATATATATAAATTTATAAATACATTAATATAAATGTATTATTACCTATAATTTCCATTTTTCCTTCATCTTTTTCATAAACCAGAGGGCCACCACTATCTCCCTATAATAAAACAATATGCAATATATTCTTAAAATATATTTTTGTGAGAATAAACATCTGTTTGGTATACTAAAATGCTCAATAGAACGATAAATAAATGAATCATTTATGCTGGACTTAATTTAATTTAGGGTACCATTTTTCTAAGGGCAGTTGCATTAACTTCCAGATATATGCAAATGATAATAATTTGTAAAAATGCACGAACACGCTGTCAGGATATACACAACACTTGTCTTAAGTAAGTGCAAAGCCATTTATCGAAACTGTGATAATTTTTTATAATTATATCTCTTATTGTACAACTATGATGTTTTTGGCTGTTCGTTTAGATTATGAACTGTGTCACTGTGCAGTTTCATTGAAAACCTACTTAACTACGTCAATCAGCCCGTCTTCTCCAAAAACTATAATCAGACTCGATATCAATCTAATATCTCTCAAACAGTTTTTGAATTTCTAGAATATCGAGAGAATAAAATTAGCAAGTGAGATTTTCTGGCCAAAACATAAACTTCTTCGCAAAGTTAAAAAATATGTGTCGCCTTCATAATATAAATTGTTGCAATATATAGAAAACCACTAAAAATCTTACCTGACAAGCATCAACATTTGTGTTATATGCACACAACATTTCGTTTGTCAAATGTTCACCAATTGCCGTTTGTTTGCAACCTTCATCGCGCATCACGAATACGTTAGCCATTAGCAGTACATCAGAGGGATTCTTATCCTGTCCCTGACGGCCCCAACCAGCCACGGTACTCTTAACTCCGACGTAAGTAGACACTTGATAGAAAATAAGGCATTTCAATAAATCAATATTAACGATTGTAAGCACAGTTAATAATTAAATTACCAAACAATACTAGCGAAAGATCTCTTATAATCCGCGAAAAAAGATGCTTGTTTTTACGGTACTTTAGCTGAATAGATATACAAAGATAGATATATAATATTGCTGTTATAAGTTATGATCCATTCTAACAAAGTAAAATTTTTTGATAATAGAATATTTTCAATTTAACGGCTAATAACACATTGCTATGTCAGACCCGAACAGTTGAAGGCATATTAGTAAGATGGTGGAGATGGTGCAGTTGATGTGAAGATCATTGTCCTTGTATGCAAAAAGTATTAAATGCGAAAGATTATTGTAAGATTGTAAGATTTTATATTTATTAAAAGTGCTTGTGTTTGATTAAGACCACCCTGAATATATACAGAGAAGTTTCCAATGAAAACATCTCAAAGATAGCTAGCCTGATTTCTTTTTTTTATGTTTGAACAGCAATCAGAACAGATGGTTCTATGAGCTGTTGTGATAAGCCATCTCCTTAACACCGTTTTTTTTAGAAAGGACGCAATCCAACAATTGGCTTATGACTACTTGATATATTTTCTTTTATTGCAATTTCCCTTATATTGATCACATATTTTTAATTTGATGCAGCATTGTCCGAGATGGATATTGCACCTGATTCTTTATACATTCTCAAACTAACCAAAACTTACAATCTGCAATTGTTTAGATTCAAAGAGTTGCAAATCATCAGTTTTCATCAGTTTGCGCCAGTTTGGGCTCGGATGGAACGAACCCATGGCCTCACCACTGAGACACAGAAGAGCCCCAGCCAGTCAAAATGAAATAATATTTTACGATGTAAGTATATGAAATATGAAAAAAGTAGTACATGAAATTTACTGCTAAAGCTGCCTAAAGTATCAATTCAAAAATCGCTGTTTAAAATATTGAGAAAAAACTCTTCCTAAGATAAACTCATCCCTCAAATTAGTTTAACATATGTATAGTAAACTATTAATAAAGCAAACACAAAATTTGTGGAATATATAAAAAATTAGTCACAAGCTCTTGGAAAATAGCTGAGAATTATAGACGTCACAATGCTTTACGTTGGATTGCGTTCCTTTCTAAATCTTTATTTCATTCTACTAAATATGAATAGGATGTTATCATTCTCTTTGTTTCATGGTTATCTTAAGTTGTTAACACTTTGGGGACGGCTGTCCACCTCAGTGGACAAACATACTCTGTGAGGCACAGGCTATTTTATAAACAATGACTCAGTTTGCATCGAAAAGTTGAATAACTTACATATAGCAGTGATAAACAGTATTGTATTTTGAAAATAATTTTAAATTATTTTAGTAGTATTTTTAGCCTTTTTCTTTGCTATATGGTCTTTTTTTAATATTTAAAACCACCGAGCGCTTTTAAATATGGCAAAACGACTAGTAAACTTTGTGAATTAAGCAGTAGTAAAGATGAGTTTCAAATAGACATTCATATAGACGATTCTCCTTCAATAATCGAGTTTGGCATACATCAACAAACACCCCGACTACAAATACCAAGCAATATAAGACATCCAATAGATTATTTTACTTTATATTATATAAATGAATTATTAGACAATATAATAGAAAAAATAAACCATTATGGTAGCAAAAAAATGACCAAATATAATGACTAAATCAGTGGCATATTCTAAATTCTAAAAGACAAAGGGATTGTATTGTCTGTTCTGACAGAAAAGCACCAGGAGGAAGGCGGCGAACAACATTTTATTATAAAACATGTCAAAATCAACCAGCTATGCAGTTTGGAAAATGTTTTGAACGTCACCATTCTTTATAAAATGATTAAAAATAAATTAATATTAAAAATGTATGTCCTTCAATGACCACATATTTTTATCAAATAAATTGCATTACATACACAATGAAATCAAGTTTACAGCCGGTAAAGTAGATTGTTTTGAAATTGGTGCCGTCCCGAAAGTGTTAATTTTGTCAAACTTCAAATATTAATCCTCCAATATATTAAATTTTTCGGATCGAATTAAATGAATAAATATAAAGTTATTTTTTACAAACTTGGATTCGGCAGACAGACAGGTAGTATGTTCTTGTCGAAGGTGACACTATGCTCAAGCTTGAGCAAGGCGATATCATTAGTATCATGCAAATAGTCTGACGTGAAATTTTCATGTAATATGCCTTCCTTGAAACCGATGGTTAAACCCTCCTTGCTGTGGATGTTGTGCGCTCCTATTCGCGCTTTCAAAGTTTCTACTTTTGTCCTTCAAAATAAAAAAAACATAGTTAAATGCTAGACAAAACTATAAAAGTTGTAACTCAAATTAAAGAATTGAGAAAGTACTGCGATAAATGGAAATGGAGATTCAATTTTTTTTCTTGGAACACTAAAAGGAGAACCCGCGCGTTGCTCGTCTCGGATTTTGATGAAACTTGGCACAATGATAGATTTGATGCCCAAACTGACCATAGTTTTTATATGGAAATAAATTATATCTCTTCTTCCGTATTATTGCTGTTATTAATACAAAATTATAATGTTTCAGAAATCACTTAACATTTATATCATCGTAAGTTTCATGAAAATAGAAATTTAGAGGAGTTACGGAGGACTTTATTATGGAATATTTAGCGAAAAATATAAAATTAATCAAAAACTCAAATAAATGTTAATATTATTTACACGTGAAATTATAAATATCAAACAAAAATAATAAAAAATACTATATCTGAATTGGGAATTGAACCCCGGAGCCACTCGGCCAATCTGCTATTTATAATAAATAGCATTGCAAGCTATGCAATACGCGCGCTGCTAAAAGGCAAACTTTAATTAATTTTTATAATTAAACCGCTTTTCATAGGCCTCTAATATTTTACCACGGTCAGTTTGGGCATCAAATCTACCATTTTCCTTATAAGAGTTTTATTATCTGTTGCGATAAAACTTCTCCCAATCATTATTTTTCAAAAGACAAAGACAAAAGAATTTTTCAAAGTTCAAGTATTACGTAAGCACTATAGGGGAGCGGGGGAGTTATTTATTTCTTATTTTGGGTGACATTTTGGTGACAGCTTTGCTTACTTTTGCTGACAATGGGGGATGGGGGGGTTAAATAATTGTACTAAATCTGTTTACGTAATACTTGAACGATCCCCAACCCAATGATTTTATTGGAAACATTAATGAATGTTTCCATACAGTAAAACAAAAATCATTATCATTGCTTAACTAGAAAATAAATGGAGCTGAAATTGTGACTATCAAGTCATATCTCACCATCTGATGCAATGACCAGCTGTCAAAACATAACGATCATTTATGAGAGCACCACCGCAGTGCATGAATCCTTTCCTGGTGATGGCGACAGCCCATGGAAATTGATGTGGTTTGGCTTCTCTGCCTCCAACTATTCGTTTAGCCACAACGTTACTTGCACCGCATTCTGAATAAATATAAATTAAATAGTATATTAGTATAACTAATAAGATAATTAAAGTTATTAAAAAGTTATTAATAAAAGAGAATCATAAAATAGTAGATTAAAAATATGTTTGTAATTGAAAATTGTCTCCATCTGAATACTACGCGATGTAAAATTACCTCTGACACAAAACTTTCACGATTCTAGTTGGGGTTTAACAGCAACCAAATATGTTTATTAGAGTGGATCAAATTTAATGGTCATGAGGGCACATTGAAATTGTGGTTCTATGGGTCATTTAAAAAACTTTGCCGAAGAAATCTTAACTTGGAAGTGAATTTAAGGCTAGCGAAATTTGCAATAAAATTATTTCTCCATACATGTAAATTCTAATTACACAAATCTTACGTTTACCTATGTGAAAATTTGACATTTAGACATCGCAAACCTCTTAAAATATCATAGGCATATGCAAAGTGGTTTAATTATGATAATTATTTAAAGTTTACAAAATTAGGCTGTGCCCTTCACCTTACATATGTATCCTGACTATGTTAGGACAAAAAAAAATAAAATTTTTACGCTCTTTTGAATCACGCCAGTGTGTAGCTCATGGACCTATAACGCTAAAGAAAATCTTTGGCGTTCATTGAATATTTATTTAGTTGGCTTATGACTAAAAATTATTTTCATTAAAATAGGTTTTTTACGTTTTTCAAAAATGTGCTTTAGCTATAATGAAGGTCGAACCAACTACTAAAATATTATACATAATTCAGCATGAGATCAAAGTGACTTTAGTTAATATTTAAAAATAAAATAATAATCTTAAAAGTAACCAGTATACTAATAAAATAATGAAGTCCCAAATAACAGCAGTTATTAGTTTATATTTATAATTATCGGGCACATAACTATTACCAAGGCACAACTTAAAAATTGGTACGACTTCAGCAACCTTACCCTAATTATGTATACATTTGATATAATTTACTATAATGGTAGAACAAGTGAAAAAAATCGACTTACCGCAATCCGACAAAATTACAGCATGTATCTGAAAAGACATATTTAAAATAATAAAAATGGAACCAAAATAGCTCAAGATCTTAATTTTTTGTACTTACTTGATTAGATAAACAAAAAACCACCAGCAAAGTTATGGATTGCAAAATATTCATCTTTAAAAAATATAGTATGGTTTAACCAAAATAAACTACAACTTGAGGCAAAAAATCACAATTGCAAAGAAAACTTAAGTGCAGTTAATTTTATTTCTAGCTTGCAGCCAATTAAAGTTAAATTATTGTACAGAACCGTCGTAAAAATCCAAAATTATACGGTCAATAATAGGCGTGAAACAATAAAATAAAATAATTACGCATAAAATGTCTTAAAATAATAACTTGAATAATGCATGCGAAACCATAAAACACGATGTCCAATAATTGCGTGAAACGATTACTGAGATCCGTTTTCTTGTAAAAAAAAAATAATTGAAAAAAAAAACTAAAAATGATATTTTGTAAAATGTATTATATAATATTTAAACTGAAAGCATAACTCGCCATAAATTGCTATATTTGAGAAAACACGTAGGCCATAAAACGCAAAAAAAGCAAAATTGTTGTATAACACTTTCTGGTGGTTAAAAGCTCACAAAAAGCTTAATTTAAACAAATGTCTTTTCAATATTCAATCCTATTATACAATCGCAATTCGTTGTTATAAATCAACGATAATCAGTAGAACTAGTAGTTCTATTACCAAAAAGCAGAAAAAAATAAAAATCGATTCGCTAAATTCCTAATTTGAAATAATAATTATCAAGAGTATGTGTGTGCAAGTTTAAAAATTATATATAAATAAATATCTATATAGAGTTTTTTCCCATTAAGAAGTACATACTACATTTTATACCCAGTACAGTCCATTAAATATTTCATCCCACAAACATATGAGGTAATTTAGAAACTTTATTGTCAATTTAAGTTACAACCAAAATATACTTTGATTACATTCTTCAACTAATTAAATTATATCACAAAAATCATAAATTGATTAATTCTCGAGATCCTAAGAATCATCAATAATCGAGTTAATATAACAGATATACAAAATCATTTCATTTTCCATGTAATCTTGAATATATAATACTTTTGTTCAAACAAATAAATTTGAATTCATAGAATTTTAAATTTTAGCGCAATTATAATGTAGAAAGTACATAAAAAACAAAATGGTACAACAACTAGTTAATAATTAACTTATACTTAAATTAGAATTCATTCACACTCAAAATATACTAAATGCATGAGCAAAGGCACGATCACTTACACTAGTGGCCAACCAATATAAATAACCAAAAGAATAATTTATATTATTTAATTATTCTTAGAAATTATTTGTTAAACTTTGAAGCAAAAAGATAATCAATTAGTGAAAATGTAATTCCCAACCACATAGTACTTCATTTATTTAATTTGATTAAGTCTCTTTTATCAACTATTACTCATACAAGTATGTGCATGTGTGATTTTTAAACTTCTGAACTATAAATACATCGATTTATTTCAAAAAATTTTATTCAACATTTTGGGGATATGTGATGTCCCCTGCTTTAGGAAATATTGATCACAAATAATTCTGTTTTTAACATACATTTATACACTTATTCAATTAAATTAAAATTGAAAGCATTTATATTAAGCATTTTTACTCTTATAACTATTTTTCAAATCAAATAATTTTTTTTATTTGTTATCAATAGTTCCTGAAGAAGGTGACATCAGATAACCCCATCCTACACTGTTGAATAAAACTAATTGAAAAATTACATCAATAATCTTTTTAGGAAAAAGTTGCTTAAAGTTCATGAATTTAAAAATCACAATATATATATATATATATATATATATATATATATATATATATATTTACTAATCTATTATGAGTTCAAATAAATAATATAGTAATACTATATCTTTACTATTTGGTAAATCAGCAATGAAGTCAAAATATCGATGTCTTACAAAACTAAAAAAGTACTTTTATAAATCTAACTTTAGTTTCATATCAATGATAATATTCTTATATTTTTAGCATTCTAAAATAGTATATTTAATTCATTTAATATTTTACATTGTATTTTAAATACATAAAAAAGTCATTCAATCACACAATCATAAATCGTAAAACAAACTGAAACTGTGCTATATATTAAAGCACAATAGAAAATAAAGTAAACTCCGTTAATAGAAGTAAAACAATTTGAAAATGTAATGCATTCGGTAATTATGAAACAATTAGTATTATTGAAGCAAAATAGTTAAACACTTTGCTTAAAGAATATTTTTTGCAAACCATTCTACCACAAATGGTTACAAATGCATGTGAATTGTAAGAATCTTATTTTAACTTTAACAAAATATTAACTTATATTAATGATTTAGCAAAATTGAATTAGTTTTGTATTTACCATGTGATAAAAGTCATCATGCAACAATGACAAAAAAACTAAAAATATATAAAGAAACAAAATTTAAATTTATAGTAATATCACCTTGCTAACATATTAGCCCGTAAGTTATTTTCTCAACATTATTTACTCTTTTTTTATTGTGACTCGTAAGTAGAATGAAAACTCTCCGATAATTTAACATTAAAAAATACAGTAAGATAATTTCATTGTGTGTGCACTTCTAGCATATCTTACTCACATGAATCGCATACCTTAAAAATTACAAGTATTTTTATAGTTCAAACAATATATACAGTGTAAAGTTCAATTAGAATTTTGAATCCAACGGAAACAGAATTGCTGTAGAACATTATGATTGTAACCTTAGCCTTAGTTTGATTTATATCATTCAAGTATACAGTTTAAAGATTTTCTACAACAAATGCAAGTATAGTTAGATTCATTATATTATTTGAGATATTTGAAAAAAATTGATTATTAAATAGTACTAACCAATATTTATTGAATATACGCAGTGAAAATATCTGAAAATGTCGGAAGCAACGATTATGTCTGTGAATGATCAGAAAATTAAAATTGTGCCACTAGAACTTTCAATAGAAGACATTAAACTTGAAAATGAATTTGATGACTTAAAGGTATTGTTAAGTCTGAATCATGTTTAGAAGATGATGAAACATGTCTGGAAAGATTTATGAATTCCGAAGTAACTATTGAAGAAGAAGTCAAACAGGAGGTGTAATAGGTCATTTTCAGAATCTAATTATTTAAAAGAGCACATGGTTACCACATACCTAGAAATGGCAACAATAAATGCAATGTATGCGATAAGACATTTAAATATTCATCACAATTGCAACATCACATGATTACTCAAATATAAAAGTTTCAGGTACTGATTACTGAAATGTCTTCAAATAAATTAAAAAAAAAGAAAATAATGCTATCAACAATCTACGGGCTATTTATATGACAAATTTGATCTGTAAATCATGTGATAAATTAGATATATAAAATAAACATTGCATTTAACCATTTGTTGGTCAAAATAGTTCACTTAGTTTTAAAAATGACTAGTGAATACAGTGTGAATAAAGTCTTCACAAGTTGCACTTCTTTATCTAGCAAAAGTTTTCAATTTGTTCAATCATTGATACAATATATATATATATATATATATATATATATATATATATATATATAAGTATATATGTATAAATACATATATACATAAGTTGTTTTTGGTCATTTACATGTTTCAATAATTATAAAAAATCTGTACAAAAGAACTATAAACAAACATTAATAAATCACTTGGCTATAACTTGTGCGAGCAGTTGAAGTTATTGCTTCTTCTAGGTTACTATCTAATTTGCGATAAGAAGCAGTATGACGTCTTCTGCCTCCACGACTGCCTGAACTTCTACGTCCTTCCAATACAAACGCTAACAACTTATTTTTGTTATGAGCAAGAATATAACCCAGAACACATAGCGCCATTCCACATAAGAGATAACTAAACAGATGCGAGTCTTCAGCTTCAACAAATGGTTGCGTCTGATCGTCTCTTGGCAATATTACTTCATTTGCCACCTCTACATCTTTTGATTTGTATTTTTCTGGATGTTCCAATTCAGGTATTTGGTCCATCCCGAGTTCTGAATCAATGTCATCACCATTATCCATATCATTCACATTATTCAGATCTAACGCCTGTTCTGAATCTTGGTCATTCTTTTCTAATAATGGAGTATTTGCAACAGCTAAAAATTCTTCATACTTTTTATTATTATCAAAGTTTTTGTCATTCACTGCTTCAGAAATAGAAGTTTTGGCATTATTAAGATTAGTATCAATTGGTGTTTTCTTTGATATACTATTTTGATCTTCAGCTCTTGCATTTTCTGATATAGCACTAGTTTTGTTGGGTTTAACATTATCTTGAGCATTTAAATTAGTTTGCGGTACACCTAATGCTTTGCTGCTTTGAGTATTTTTCTCATTGTCATTTTGGTTTTTAACAACTTGTCCCTCATTTTGTATTGGAATAGTCGATTTAATTGGACTTGATTTTGGTGGCAATTGATTTGGCTGAACATCCATAGCTGCTATAATCGTTTTTGGCGAGACTAAAGTTTCACAAAGACTTTTATTATTATTGCACAACTCATTGCATTTGTCAGCTAATCGCAACTTGAAATTATGTATCTGTTCTGTGAAATACGTCGTCGCATTGTAATTTGTATAGAATTTGGTCAAGTCAATACAAATATCTGCACCTACTTCCCTGGTTGGTTGCGATAAGGAGGCATTCGTACACAAGTGAAGGTACAGGTCAAAATAAGCTGAACAGACCAAAGATTCATCACTAACTTTGTGTAAAACATCGATGCAACTGTCTTTTAGAGTTTTGTCAAAGCAACTCGAATGATTGTTTACTACATTTAATAAATAATTTTCGCCGGCTGCCTGTTTTAGACTAATTGACGCTGCATTTCCCAACACAGCAGCAGATAAGGTTAAATAACCGCAACATAGTACAACTAAATACACTTTATTATTGACAAGCATGATGTCAATTGCAGCAAACAGAACTAAAATTGAAGAAAATATCAAATTATTAAGACGCACCTTTTAGGCATTAGCAGCCGAATCCGCATTTCTTTACAACGAGCAAAATTTGTCGGACATCTCGATCGTTTGCACTGTGAGCACCCTAGACAATGTCTGATGACACGCCTGTCAAGTGTCGGCACACTTTGACACGCACATGCGGATGTGACACATGACACATGACACATGACACATGACAATTGATCCGCTGAAAGGTTTCAGTGACACATGGAATTAACGCCGCTTACCACCTCTTACTAATAGACCCTAGACAATATAATAATTAACTAGCTGTAAGTGGAATTCTGTCTTAAGGCAATTAAGGCATCGTGCCTTAAGGCAATTAAGGCATCGTGCCTTAAGGCAAATTGCTGGAACTTCCCGTACCAAAAATTATTATTTTTTTAAAAACGATTAACATTTTTGAAAAAAATGTACTTTGAAAAAATAAGATTTTTGAGAAACTATATATATGGACAAAAAATTACTTTTTTGAAAAAAAAAATTAAAAAAAAAAAATGTTTTTTTTTAATTTTTTTTTTTGAAAAAAATTTTTTTTTCTATATTTTGACATATTGTGGAAGATCTGAACTTTTTTTTCAAAGCAATCGTACTGATTTAACTGCATAGGGACAAAATATAAAGCGCGTAATCGCCGCGTTGCTGTCTAACGCATAAGCATTGGTACGGAACCCATAGGAATGTTAACAAAATGTATACTTATTGTTAAAATCTCTATAAAATATCTGATAATTCGATGTGCATATGTCTAATGATCATTTTTGACCGCCAAATGGCTCATTTTTTTACTTTTTCCTCTATATCTCCAAAGTCGTTGGACCTGCCTTTCCAAAATTTTGAACAGTTCTTCATTTAGTCAATACAAATAAAATGTTTTTTGAATTATTCAAATCGGACGCTCCGTTCTCTTAAAAACTGAGTTACCGTTTTCGGCACTTTTTGCCCCGTATCTTCGGAACGGCTAGACCTGCCTTCGCCAAAAACTAATCAGCACGTCTCCTTATCAATACGAATCGAATGTTTTTTGAACTATTCAAATCGATTGATCCGTGTTCGCGAAATCGTCGACGAAAATTTATATCCGCACATACATACACACACGTACATACATACACACACACATACACACACACATACACACACACACACACACATACATCCATTTTTTCTAAGGTATGCCAAAATGTTCAGAAACCTTTGAAACGTAAAGATATATAAAAATTTTCATTTTCGATTTTTTTGCGATTACTATAACTTGCCCTACGGGAAGTTAATTAATAAGCTAATAGATAATTATTAATAAGCTAATAGACATTATATTACTAGTAATATAAGGTCTATGCTTTTACTTAATTTCTTTTTTTTAGATTTTTGATAGATGTTATTTTTAACTTCCCGTAGGGCAAGTTATTGTAATCGCAAAAAAATCGAAAATGAAAATTTTTATATATCTTTACGTTTCAGAGGTTTCTGAATATTTTGGCATACCTTAGAAAAAATGGATGCATGTGTGTGTGTGTGTGTGTGTATGTATGTGTGTGCGGATACAAATTCTCGACTACGATTTCGGGAACACGGATCAACCGATTTGAATAATTTAGAAAACATTCGATTCATATTGATAAGGAGACGTGCTGATTAGTTTTTGGCGCAGGCTGGTCTAGCCGTTCCGAAGATACGGGGCAAAAAGTGCTGAAAACGGTAACTCAGTTTTTAAGAGAACGGAGCGTCCGATTTGAATAATTCAAAAAACATTTCACTTGTATTGACAAGATGAAAAATTGTTCAAATTTTCATGAAGGCAGGTTTAGCGGTTTCGGAGATCTAATGAAAAAAGTAAAAAAAAATGCCATTCGGCGGTTAAAAATGATCATTAGATGTATGCACATCAAATTATCAGATATTTTATAGAGATTTTAACAATAAGTATATTTTTTTTTTACATTTCTATGGGTTCCGTACCAATGCTTATGCGTCAGACGGCGGCGCGGCACTTGCGCGCGCTTTGACATTTCGTCTCTAGGCAGTTCAAGCAGTACGATTGCTTTGAAAAAAAAGTTCAAAATTTCCAAAATATGTCAAAATGAAGAAAACATTTTTCTTTTCGAAAAAATTTTGTTTTCAAAAAAAAATTTTTTTTTCAAAAAAAAGTAAATTTTTGTCAAATTTATAGTTTCTCAAAAATCTAATTTTTTCGAAGTAAATTTTTTTCAAAAATGTTAATCGTTTTTAAAAAAATAATAATTTTTGGGAAGTTCCAGCAATTTGCCTTAAGGCACGATGTCTTAATTGCCTTAAGACAGAATTCCACTTACAGCTAGTTTGAAATAAATATGCATAAATTAGTAGTGTATAGCATCGTGTCTTAAGGCAAATTGCTTGAACTTCCCGTACCAAAAATTATTTTTTTAAAAAAAGATTAAATATTTGTTAACCTTTTGGAAAAAATATTTTTTCATCATGAAATATTTTGAAAATTTTGAACTTTTTTTCAAAGCAATCGCGCTGCTTTAGCTGCATAGAGACGCAATATCGAAGCGATGTTACGGAACCCATAGAAATATAAACAAAATTGATACACATTATTAAAATCTCCATAAAATATCTGATAATTTGATGTGGAAATGTCTAATGATCATTTTTGACCGCTAAATAGCATTTTTTTACTAGATCTCAGAAACCACTAGACCTGTCTTCCCAAAAATTTAATCAATTCTTCATCTTGTCAATACAAGTAAAATGATTTTTGAATTATCAAAACCGGACTCTTAAAAACTGAGTTACCATTTTTGGCACTTTTTGCCCCGTATCTTCGAAACGGCTAGACCAAAAACTAATAACCACGCCTTTTTATCAAGAGGAATCGAATGTCTATTGAATAATTGAAATCGGTCGAACCGTGTTCCCGAAATCGTCGACGAAAATTTTTATCAGCACACACACACACGTCAATTTTTTCTAAGCTATGCCAAAATGTTCAGAAACTTCTGAAACGTAAAAATATATAAAAAAATTCATTTTTGATTACTATAACTCACCCTACGGGAAGTTAATAATTTGACTTGTATGGCTTTTTAACTTTCCGAAGAAGAAAGTTTATGCTTTCAGACTGAAAAAAATCAAATTTGCTACTTCTACGTTTTCTCGACGTTTCAAGTCACTCTGACACCAAAATCGGAAAATGAATCCTTTAACACCAAAATTGGAAAAATGTGTCCCTGTGTGGGTGTATGTGAGCCAAAATTTGACCTCTCGCCGACGTTTACAAAACGGCTTAACCCAATTCAAAAATTTTACTAGTGGGCATGACATTGTGCCTTAAGGCAAATTGTTAAAACTTCCCGTATAGGAATTAAACATTTAAAAAACAAAAATGACCAATAATCAATAAAAATGGATCAGACAAATGTTTTAAAATTAGAAACAAATTAAGTTTTGGTAAAAATTTTGAAAATTTTGAAACCGCTGGGCATGCCTTTCCCAAAAGCTAATAATTATTTCACATCATCAATACAAATAAATGTTATGTTATTGAATCATTTTAATTGGATGATCCCTTTTCTCAAAAACTGCTTAACCATTTTACTGCGCTCTCTAATCGGTATCTCCGAAACGGTCAGATCTGCCTTTGCAAAAAACATTAGCACGTCTCCTCGTCAATACGAATCAAAAGTTTTTTGAATCACTCTAATCGTACGCTCCGTTCTCTCAAAAAACTGAATTATAGTTTTTCACACTTTTTGCTCCGTATCTCCAAAACGGCTGGACCTACCTTTGCCAAAAACTAATCAGCACGTCTCGGCGTCAATACGAATGAAATGTTTTTTTGAATCATTCAAATCGGTTGATCTGCGCACTTGAAACCGTGAACAAAAATTTTTATCCAAACATACTCACACACATACTACATACACACATACACAAACACACGCACATATAACAATTTTTTATAAAGTATGCCAAAATGTTGAGAATCGTAAAGATATGCAAAATGTCTTTGAAACTAAAATTATTATAGTTCTACAAAAAGTGGTTGTACATATTATAAAAAATATTGAAATTTGGAATAATGAGCTGCTCAGAACCTTAGGACAAACATGGGCACTTAGGACATACAAGTTCGTGTTTGTGCACTATAATTAACACAATTACCGGCATTATAATAATAAATTTAAATAATTATTTTTGAATGTTAATGTCCTAGGTTAAAGTTCTTATGGTATTGCGTACAACGGTAAACAATACAGTAATTCATTTTCCATATTTCGGTCGCAAACTAGTTACGCTCCATCATCAGACTTTCTGTCAGAGATATAAACAACATTATAAATATATTTTATAATGACAAAATGGTAAAAAAGTATTTGAGAAAAACTTCAAAGAAATGGATTATAAAACTATAATAACAATGCGAAAAAAATAGAAAAAAATGATAAAGAAAAATGATGGTGCACCATAACTTACAAAATTTGTAACAGGTCTTTGAACCATAATAAAGAATGGATAGTTCTGCCCTAGGGCAAATCCGTGAGCTGAGTTAAACTCTAACTTGATTCAGGAAAGTATAGTGTGAGAAGTTTTCCATTTCCATTTAACACCGCAGTGCCCCAAATGGGCTATTTTCAATTAGAAACAAATTTTTCATTTATATTTTCAAGTGAAAATGGACATTTCCACTGCCAGATATGATGATCTCCTACAGATTGGGGGACGTGCTGAATAGTTTTGGCAAAGGCGGGTCCAGCCGTTTCAAAGATATGAGGCAAAAAGTGCCAAAAATGGTAAATAAATTTTTGAGATAACGGAGCGTCCAATTTGATTGATTCAAAAATCATTTTATTTGTATTAACGAAATGAAGAACTGATTAAATTTTTGGAAAACTGATTATGGTTTTATAATCCATTTCTTTGAAGTTTTTCTATTCTATTTTATAGAAATTTTAATAATAAGTACAAATTGTATTTACATGTCTATAGTTCCGTACCAATGTTTAACCATTAGACTGCGACGCGGCGCTTACGCGCTTCAACATTTGTCGGTTCACAGCAATTGCTTTTAAAAAAAATCAAAATCTTCAAAAAAATCATTTTTTTAAAAAAAGTCAATTATTTCAAAAATATTCAAAATTCTCAAAAATTTATGTTCTTACGCGCTTCAACATTTGTCGGTTCACAGCAATTGCTTTAAAAAAAATCAAAATCTTCAAAAAAATCATTTTTTTAAAAAAAGTCAATTATTTCAAAAATATTCAAAATTCTCAAAAATTTATGTTTTTACGCGCTTCAACATTTGTCGGTTCACAGCAATTGCTTTAAAAAAAATCAAAATCTTCAAAAAAATAATTTTTTTAAAAAAAGTCAATTATTTAAAAAATATTCAAAATTCTCAAAAATATATGTTCTTCAAAGTTTTCAAAAAATTCAAAGCTTTCCTAAAAACTTAGATTTTTGGTACGGGAGGTTTCAGCAATTTGTCTTATGACACGATGCCATGCCCCACTAGTTGAAATTTTCGTTTACTCCGCATTGTGTATACAAAATACAAGCAGGTGTAAATATTTCAATTTCTGTCTAATAAATGTTAATAATTTGGAAACACATAGTTATTGTATCAAAGTCAACTTTACCTAAATAATGAACACAATCAGAACGGCGTGCGCATTAGCTGTAAAACAACTTACTTGTCATTAATCTGGACCGGCGCCAAAAATACGCACGCTCCAAAATAACTCACAGAGCTACAACAGAACTTAGGAAATTCGGTTTGCAATCATCTCTTTACGGTCCACTGTTCATCGAATATAAAGTAATAAAAGAAAAGAAACTCTTGACGGTATTGAAATTGTTTCACAATATAGTGTCCAAATGCGGTGAAAAAAGTGAAACTTGTGGTAGAGTTATTTATCCGGCTTCGAGATGAGATCGAGTTATGGGGCGCCCCGCAGCTCTTTGCGGAGTCGCGGGTCGTCTTCTACAACCGCCAGCGACCCTCGAGAAAAAGTCAAGGATTGTTGCAGAAAATTAATTGCGTTCATGTGTACACAGGTATGTTATATATATATATATATATATATATATATATATATATATATTAGGGTGGTTCTTAATATGGATGTCTTCCAATGTCCTTGTTTCCAGGGGTTCAAATTCCAAATATTAAGATAGTCCGCAGTCCTTAATCCTTAAGATAGTCCGCAGTCTAATCAAAATTTGTTGGTTCTTGGTGTTTTTGAGTAAATACTTATTTTATAAAGTATATAAAAATTTTGTTGTAATTTTTTTATTTATGATCAAATTAAGCAAATGTTATTCTCAATATTTTGATTCACTTGTCTCCAACTTATAAAAAATGGAATTTTACCCATGTTATTTCCATAAGAAACTTTGGTTAGAGTGCGGATCTTAAAATTTATATTAAGATCTAAAACTTTCAGAGATTTTTTTTATCAATTTGGAACCATTTGAACCCCTGAGAGCGAAGAAATTCGAAAATATCCATATTAAGGAGCACCTATATATACATGGGTCGTTCAACAAGTACTAAGCCTCACCGCCAGATTCTATCACAAAAAGGTTACACCATTAGGTAGTACATTCTTTTACTAGCTTTCTGTCAAGTTTCAGTCATTTCCCTTCAATAGTTTTTTTGATAGCTCTTGGAAGCGAGTGTGTCCATCAGTTTTACAAAAATGAAAAAAGGACAATATCGTTCGTTGATTAGATTCTTACCTTTGGGAGGAAAAACTCTACTTCTTTGATGGTGACCGTCGAAAATTGGTTTAATGAGTGTGTTCAATGTCGTTTTTAACGAGCCACTACTAGGTGGCTAGAAAACTGCTGCGGCAAATGAAACTATTAAAAAAACCATCATCTCATAATGGTAGATCATCGATTGAAAGTTCACAAAATAGCTGAGATCGTAGACATCGTAGAAGGACCTGTCATCATATTCTACACGAAGAACTGGGCATGAGAATGCGATGGGTGCCGCGTTTGACACACCCGAAAACGAGTGCAACCGTGAGACCACATCGTCGACGTTTTTGGCGCTGTTTCAGAGTAATCCGGAGTTTTTGCGTCGTTTTCTGATCGTTAACAAAACATGAATTCACTGGTTCAAAAACACTGGACTTCAAACTGCAAATCTGCTCCGAAGAAGGCAAATACTGCTCGATCGACCGGAAAGGTGATGTCCTCCGTCTTCTAGGATTTGCAAGGTGTGATCCACATCGACTACACCGAGAAGCATAAAATAATCAGAAGAAGATACTATGCTGAGTTTTTGGGGCCAATTCGATGTCGAATTGAAGAAAAGGCGGCCCCGTTTTGCAAAAAAAAAATTGCTGTTCTACCACGATAACGCGCCGGCCCACGCCTCCGCTTTTGCCATGGACAAATTGGGCGAATTGCGCTACGAATTGGTGCCTGATTCACCTTACTTTTTAGGTTTGGACCCCTGTATTTACTTTTTGTTTCCAAACCTGAAAAAATCACTCGCCGGAAATAAATTTGGGTCGAATGAAAAAGTCACCACAGTTGCAGCCCTCGAGAAAACGTATTTTTTGAACGGGTTAAAAAAGTTGGAGCACTGCTGGACCAAATGTATCTAACTTGAGTGAGATTATGTATTAAGTTATGTTATGTAATAAGCAATTATAATGTGAAAATCAAAACAACTACATCACAACATATAGCACATATCTAGTCAACAACTATTGAACTATGTTAAGTAAAAGTCCACACTTTTCTTATTTATTTCCATATAATTACAGTCTGCCTGGTAATGAATTAAGTAATTTTGGTGGCTGTAGATATAATGTTTTAAAATACTACCCAATGATATTCATTTTAAATTTAAAAATAAATGAGATACAAATACAGAAAGTAATAGTAGGTCTATATTACATGTTAATTTTCTAAATCTAACGGGTTTGTTTTATGAGTCTACTGGGGATGTTTGAGGAAAGCAAGTTTTTTGCAAGTTGGTTCCGATGATATTCAAGTCTAATTTTGTACTTAGATTCATGTTTTCTGATTTCTTCTGTTACCGCAAACATATTGGAGTCCTGGTGGATCAGCTAATTTGGGACATACTTTGGGGTCTCTAGAATTTTATTTTGGGACCGTAGCAAAATATTTATGTTGGTTTGACTACAAAAGTCCAAGCTAATTTTAGAATATGTTTGTTCACGTGTTTTCTGAAATTTGTCATTTTGTCGTTTTTACTACATAAAAGATCAAATGTGACAGCCAAGAAGCAAAAAAGATTCAATTTCAAATTTTTAATTTTAAAGAGATTTTACGGAATAATATAATAGCTCCATTATTTAAACCTTCCGATGCAGTTTAATTATTAGCTTGAACAACAAAATTAAAAATCATAATCTAATTATGTATTTTTAAACATAATAAACAACAACTAAGTATTACCACCATAGATAAGCTATCTACTACTATCATAAGTTTTGGTTATGTAAGTATTTCTATTCAATTTATCATAATCAGACTCATTGTTTCTTTAAATACAATTATTTCAAACAAGATAAATCACAACTTCTGTTTGAAATATATATTTTATGAGCACTTTTTTACAAAGATCACGCAGCATACAACATTCGTATAAAACTTCGTCAAAAGAATTCATCATTTGAGTTGGAATAACTATTAATTTAATTTATCTCTTGTAAAATTGCCTCTTTTCACTTGTTTACTTTTTTGTTTACTATTTTCTTATTGTTTACACCTTGCCGGTGCAAGGGTTTATGTGATATTTTTTTATTCGAACCACATGCAGGCTATTCTAGAGGTTATATCAATTAATGTTAGATTCAACTTTAAAATAACAATTGAGTAACGTATACTTAAAAAAATATATTTAGCTAATGTCGTAAACTATGGGTAAGCGAAATTACACTACCCAAAACGAAAAAAACTAGCAAAAAGAAAATACTTTCGTTAAAAAATTGACAACGTGGCCTTTTGCTTTCAGATATCCATGCCACCCTAATTAAGGCTATGACTGGGTACGCATATTTTCCATCTTCTTTAAAATAATATCGTTAAAAAATACCACTCACTTGTTAACTTCCCGAAGGAGAAGTTTATGTTTTCATAAAAAAATCCGATTCGCTAATTTTATGTTTTCTCGACGTTTCAAGCCATTCTGAATCGAATGAGACCAAATTGGGAAAAAGTATGTGTGTGTGTGTGTGTATGTAAACAGATTTTTTGCCGTAAATCCACATTTTCTCAAAAACGGCTGGATCGATTTCAAAAATTTAAAAGCCATTCATTCGATGTATCTCGATGAGGACTATCGTTTGTCAGTTTCGTGCTACGATCGGTCGAGCCGTTTCTTTGTAAATTGCAGAAAAGTGTAAAATTTTTCGTCCACGTTTTATCCCGCAATTCTGAATCGATTATGAAAATTCAAATCCGTTCGGAAGATATTGGCTGGAAATCGTGCTGATTAGTTTTTGGTAGACATCGGCCGGGCCGTTTTCTTGTAATAAAGTGTTAAAATTTTTTTTCGCCTATTTTTATTATTATTTTTTGACGATAGATACCATAGTCTTCTAGATCATACTAAAATATTACGGCCCTACGGCAACTCGTTTAACTTTAAAAATTCGTCAAAGTTTGCAAAAATTGGTTTCATTTTATTGGCATTTGTCAAAATTAGACCTTTGATCGACGTTTGCTCAAAAACGCCTGAACCGATTTCAGAAATTTAAAAGCCATTTGATGTATCTCAATGAGGACTATCGTTTGTCAGTATTGTGAGACTATATGCCCAGTCGTTTCTTTGTAATTTGAAAAAAGTGTTAAACTTTTGGTCCACATTTAACCTCAAACTACCGAACCGATTTTAAAAAATCAAAAATTGTTCGAATGATATTAGTTGGGAATGATTGATTAGTTTTAGGTAAAAATCTACCGAGCGTTTTCTTGTAATTAACTGTTGAAAAAAAAATTGGAGCCAATTTTTATAGAACTTTTTTTGGCAATATATATATCATGGTATTATAGGACGTACTGAAATATTACGGCCTTACGACAAGTAGTTTAATTTTTCAAATTCATTAAAGTTTGAGAAAATGAATAGCTTTTTTGACGTTTGTTAAAATTAAAATTAGACGATTTACTTGGTATAATGATAGAGTACTTGGTCTTAATGAACATACTAAAACTTTAAAGTCCTACGGAAATTTCTTCAATTATAAAAACTGTTGATTTTTTAAAATTTGCTCTTAGAAAATATTCCGAGTTTGTTCGTTTTCAATGATGTGTGATAAATCCACTCGAAATACTTTCAATGACTCATAAATGTGTGTACAAAACATCTGTAGTAAAAATGGTCCATAAAAGCGGAAAAGATCCTAATATGGTTACCTCATATAGACCAATCAGCCTTCTACCAATTGTTTCAAAAGTGCTCGAAAAACTCCTGCTTCAACATATCTTAACTAGCGCGAATATATTTCCAGAACATCAATTTGGCTTTCGGAGTCAACACTCTACAATTCAACAGTGCCACAGAATCGTAAGAGTCATCAACAATACCTTCGAGGCCAAACAATTCTGTTCTGCAGTCTTTCTAGATGTGAGCCAGGCTTTCGATAAGGTGTGGCACAAGGGACTTTTATCGAAGATTAGATCGCTACTTCCATGTGGTTATTATAATATTCTAGAATCTTATCTCGCCAATAGAAAATTCAAAGTACGGGTCAACACTGAAACTTCAATATCTCATCAGATTGAGGCAGGAGTTCCACAAGGCAGTGTTTTGGCGCCATTTTTATATATCCTATTCACTAGTGATTTTCCAACTTTACAATCAACCACAACAGCTACATTTGCTGACGACATAGCAATTCTTTCGACACATGCTGATGCATCTAAGGCTACGCTAATTGTACAAAGGCATCTAAATGTTATAGAGGATTGGACAAAAAAATGGAGAATAAAAATAAATGAGAGCAAGTCTAATCATATAACATTTACACTGAACAAGACAACATGCCCAGGAGTACATTTTTATGGCCAAGCAATTCCAAGCACCGAATGCGTCAAATACTTAGGTATGCATTTAGATCGCAGGCTCACGTGGAAGGACCATATTCGCGCCAAATTAAAGACTATAAAAATTAGAACCGCTGAACTATACTGGCTACTAGGACGCAAGTCAATTTTATCGATTGACAATAAACTTCTAATTTACAAGGCAATAATAAAACCCATATGGACTTATGGCATTGAATTGTGGAGCTGTGCAAGCAAATCCAACATAGCGTTAATGCAACGTGCCCAATCGAAAATGTTGAGGCAGATTACTGATGCTCCGTGGTTTGTTAGTAACAAAACTTTACACGACGATCTTCATATTGATTTTATAAACAAAATAATACAAATCAACAGTATAAAACATTTTCAAAAACTACAACATCATTCAAACGATATAGTCTCTCAGCTTCTTGAGACATCAACTTCAAGAAGACTGAAGAAGAAGCTGCCCGAAGATAATATGGAGGAACCTTAGATAATATGAACAGAATAATTGAATCATTTATTGAAGTGATTCTCTAAATATGATTGTAATATTGATCCGATAAATTTATATGTGTGTTTGCAAGTGTGTGTGTATGTGTGTGAGTGAATGACATAAGCCAAATAGCTCATAGAATAGTCATGTATTCTGATTGCTATTGAAAATAAAAATTAAAAAAAAAAATGTGTGTCATAAATTTATATTTTATTGATTAAGTCGATTATTTACACATATCGGAAGGTTCATGTAACTTGCCTCAAGGCAAAATACCAATACCAACTAGTTTTTGATCTAATGGTGGTGGACATTCTTACCCACGGACCTCTAAACTCCGTTCTATTCTAACACTATTGATATGCGTATAAATCACGTTATATGCATACACAATTTTGATTTCATTCACAAAAGCATTTTTTGATATTGGATGGATGAGTTTTTGCTTCGGTGGCGTTAAAACATAAGCACCTGTAGTCATATGTAGCAATTTTCTAAATTATTTGTTGTTCAGATTTGTAATAAATAACAATTCAATGCTTGGTATATTATAGAATTAAATGTACAAATACTTTTGTTCGTACATTACCAGATTTCTTAATTAATACAGTAAACGACGACAATTATTCCGGTTAATCAAGTCTCTAATTTATTTCTTTGTTTTGTTTTTAGGTCGGTGTCGGTGGCCTGATTGTGGGATATGCAATTGTCGGCGCTTTCGGGTTCATGTACATCGAGACCCAGTACGATAGTCCTCAACTTAAAACAGTGGCGGAATTGCGGTCAAGATGCGCCTCTGACTTGTGGGCAGTTACAGTTAAGGAGAATGCATTTAATAAGTCTGCTTGGAACGAGGGGGCAAATGCAGTTCTCAAAGACTTTCAGGTAACATATTGCTCCTTTATGAACTTAACCTCGTATAAACTTATTGTTTCATATTGAACCATATTGTATATTTTATTGTACATAATTGATTATATCAATTTTAACTATTTTTCAATTTTCACATAATATAATTACATCTTTGATATACGTTTTCACGTCACGTCTATTAGATTACTTGCGCTTCCGCCGTAGCATCTTTTGCCTCGCGTTGGTGAGTGCCTAGACCAGCGTTTCTCAAACTTATTTCTTCCATCGCCTTTGAAGATCAACATTTTTGTATCGCCCCCCAGCCAAATTCTTTATACAATCTCTGAAAACTGTTTTTTTTACTTTTATTAATATAGTTATAGTGTGATATATTAGTTGATGCAACCTTACATTCTAAATTAGACATTTTTACCAGTGAGAGCAAATAAAACGCAACTTTATGACATTAATCATATATTTTATATATTATAATCTAATTAATAGAAACAGTATATCAAATTTTATTTTCAAGCTCTAATGAGAAGGATGAATTTGATAGATTTTTACAAGTTTGTCAATATCAGGTTCCATTTGACTCAAAAACAGTCGTAAGTCACCGCGTTTGGTAATTTGCAACTGATTTCTGCTTTTAGTAAGTAGCATTGTCACAGCGCAATTCACGTTCACACAAATATGACGATGGAAATGCTAGTAAAATTCCTTGAACGACCAGGGTTTAACTGCTGAATTGATTTCTGTAGCCAAAATTGTTGATAACCATCTTTAAATTTGATTTTTAATTCTTCATTTGTTGTTAATTCTATAAGCTCTTCTTCTAGCTGGGCTGATGTTTCTACATTTGCATTTGAAAAAGCGTCTAATACCCAGCCTGGTATTTCCAAATTTAAAATATCTTGAAATCTTTCAATAAAATTGCCATGAAGATTTTCCAAATGTTGGCTGTATACGAGCAAGTCTTCGTTGTACGATACCGATAAATTTGCAAAATTATGAAACTCCCGACTTCCAATATTTTTCTTATGTAATAACAGTTTGACTACAAAAGTAGCGATGATATTTTTTTTTTTTTTTTTAAATTTAAGCCCTTGAAGTTGTATATTCATATTGTTGAGCAATGCATAAAGGGTCTTTGAGATATGCTATATCATTTTTTGATGATATCAGATTTTTACACAACTGTAGTATTGAATTTAACTACAGTATTTTCATCTAATTTAAGTGAGTTGAAAATAGCTATATTAATTTTTTGGTAAAAAGCTATAAAATGGCATTAAAATCATTTAAACACCATGGGAACACGACCAAACTTTTAAAGTACCAATTAATCGTTGTGATACAAATTCTGGTGAACTTTAAAATATAAAGTAAATAAAATTACAAATGCTCCCTAACTCAACGTCAACAACCAACATTTTTAGCGAGGCCTTTCATCGTCCCCCTGGAGATCAATATCGCCTACCAGGGGGCGATATCGCCCACTTTGAGAAAGGCTGGCCTAGACTGAACAAAATCGCCTGGCATTGTACATACTTTTTTTAAATAGCTTAGACAAACACATTTAATAATAAATGGTAGTCTACCCGAAGGCAGGTTCATAGTTTGAGAGCTACCACAAATAAATGATTCCCTTACCCTTCATCTCATTACTACTATTCCCACTCCCCTTTTTTATTTCATATATTTTCCTTTCAGAACTTCTGCTTCCATGCTTCTTGATCCTGTGCTTCGGCTTTGAGTTCCATGTATTTTCTCTTCTCGCGTAAGTCGTCAATCATCTGCATTCTTCTTCTTCCCATTCCTTTTGTTCCTTTTATTTTACCCTCGACGACATCGTGCAGGAGGCACTCTTTTTGCAAAAGAGATCCGATCCAGTTTCCTTTTCTTCTCAGAATTTTACACATATATAAATTATTAACCTTATAGGACCAAGTTTATTTTAATGCATATACATCTTGCTCATAAAAGTGAACCTTTCGGTTTGCCTGGCCAGTACTTGTTCAGGCTGAAATCGCCTTGCCTTTTGATTTTTGAACTTCTCAATGAATAAATGAAAGCGTATAAAAATTTGAAATTACAGGAACAAGTTTGAGTTTCGGTATTTGCATTCTTAAACGCCTGGGCGACTATGATATGCAGGTCTGAAATCTGCCAGGATCCAGGATGGTTTCCAACTTAGCACGCTAAGAATCACCACCAGTACAAAAATTTTACGCCTTACAAAAACATCGTTATTCAAAAGACCTTATATTGGTACTCGGTCATCATAACATACAAGAGAAAAAATGTATTTCGTTTCCATCCTGTCAACTACAAATAGCGCTGTCTTTCATTAAAAATTAGCATAAAAAACAGATTAAAAAAATAATTATTAATAGTATTTTATTATGCCGTATTATAGTTGGTAAAATCTTTTCTTTATATTTACATAGAATGGTCTGACTGCAGCAATTCAGCGCGGCTATGATGGACGCACCGCGGAAGAGACTTGGTCTTTTCCTGCTGCACTAATGTTCTGCTTGTCAATCTTCACCATGATCGGATACGGTAATATGCTGCCCCGTACCCCATGGGGTAAAGGAATCACTGTCATGTACGCCGGCCTTGGAATTCCTCTCTACATATTATACTTTCTGAATATGGGAAAGGTACTTGCACAGACGTTCCGTTGGCTATATACCTGGCTTCATGAGTGCAGCGTGGAACATGACTCAGAAGCGAGTATGGAGGAAGGCGACGATTTACCAGCCAGGAAGATTATTGTGCCATCTACTGCCTGTTTATGGGTGATCAGCTTCTACGTTTTGACAGGAACAGTCATGTTCGCAGAGTGGGAAAACTGGAACTACTTGGATTCTACGTACTTCTGCGTGACGAGTCTATGCAAGATAGGTATTGGTGATTTCGTGCCCGGTGCTAATATAATGGAATCCCGAGATGGCAGCCAAACAAAACTTGTAATCAATTTTATTTATTTACTGCTTGGGATGGGTTTGGTGGCGATGTGCTACAATTTGATGAGGGAAGAAGTACGAGTGAAGATGCGTGAGTTGCGTGAAGATATGCGCCAGTGTTTAGAAGATATACGGCTAAAGTTTGTTAGATGCTGCTAATATTTTTTCAATGTTGGATATTAATAGTTATTAAGTACACGGCTGGACCGATTTATTATTTTTTTTCGTGCTGGGCATCTTTACTCTATATTTACAGCCGTACTGTTGATAATATAGTATCAAATGAAGTCTTATATAACTGGACTGCGTGTTATATATACAAATTGCAAAAACACGGGCTAGTTAGTTTCTAAGCTCACATTGTGATAGAAACTTTCTACAAATGGAAAATACGTTATCTGAGTCCTGTACAGTTCGACATTATTCGTCATATCGATTTGATTTTCTTGAAAGAAAGAAAGGTAATTTATCAATTTTGAAGAACAATTGACAGAGGCAGATCCAAAATGTTTGGAAGTATGACAGTTGATTCATATTTTATATGCCAACTATTTCGTGGTATAGAAAACTTGGCTGTGCCGCAGGAACACGCATTGGCGCAGGTAAATGATCAACGGTAAAAATCAGTCTCAGAAATCATTCGATTTCTGAGACATCGTTTATAAAGATCCTACTAATTAAGAACATAAATTCAAGACGAATGCGCAGTACAGAAGAAATGTCTGACAATATAAAATTCAAAAACCATTTCTAAAGAGTGAAAAGTGATAAAAACAAGCAAATCTGTGAATTGCTGTTGATACCATACAATGAATTTATTGCGATTTATCAGCGATAAATAAATTTTCAATAACCTCAGGCCAATCAGATAGATGTAGGTCAGCGTGCACGATAGTTCATCTTGTGAAACTTATTCCAAAATGCTAATTCCTTCAATTCAGGAGAAAAATATCAGTGGCAAATAACCGAACAATCCGATGGTACATTGGCCTGTGGCGGAAGTTTTAGCCATAAAACATGCAATTCAGTAATATAATTTTATAAACAAATGTGTCATATTACTACTAGTTGATGTATGAATTATTTATTTTTAAAGGTATAAGATATTTTTCAAATAAGCTCTCTTGTCTTGTAAATCATTTTACTTAGGATATCAAAGCAAGAATAAAAATGTTATTGTATCCGCTTTTATGGCTTCATCTATCCTATTATATGTCATCAACTCTACTTACTTCATAAGCTTTTATGCTTTAGTCAGACAGTAAAACCGTCAAATATCACTATTATTTTAATATCTCAAAAACTATTGTAAGAAATATGCAGTCTCTCAGTTGGGATAACATGATCTAGAGATGTATAATTGTATGATAAAGCCAAAATAATTATTTTACTTACTAGCATTATGCATGAAGGAGGGTTGAGAGATCATTGTAAGATACGCCAAAGTGGCCTGTATATTTTATGTAGTTATAATATATTTCTAAATATAAGAACGTAGTGTATAAAACATTCACAGTAAAGGCATTTATTATTATATTTAACAATTTTTGATACCTCCTTTAATTACTAACCAATATTGATGTTATGTCTCAACAGGATTATTAAATAAATAATACAGACCTATAAAGTAGTATATATTGTGCAATCTATCTTGTGAAAATAATCATTAAACAGAAAACTAACAGAAAAATATTTTAATAATTATAATTATAGCAAAAATAGTTATCGCTAGTTAGTGTCATCTGCATAAATGTGAAAAGAATTATTTAAAAGACAAATCATAGTGCAAAATGTGATACCTTCCAAAATTCCAGAGAAATATTTAAATATTCTGTATTTGAATCGATTTTTTAAAATTCAAAAACTGTTCAACAAGATATTGGTGGAGAATTGCGCTGATTAGTTTTTGGTGAAGATCGGCCGGACCATTTCTTTGTAATCAAATGTTAAAAATTTTCTTTGGATGTTTTTGATGAATATTTTCATGATAATAGAGATCATGATTATACTAAACATACCTATATATTATGGGCCGGCGACATGTGGTTTAATTTAAAAAAATCTTCAAAATTTGAAAAATATGATGAGTCAAAATTTGTGTTAAAGTCTCCTTTGTGATGTGATTACTCAAAATGTGAATTTTGTCGATGTGTTTGATTGATTGGTTTTCAGTAAAAGCAGAAACCTAAAATTTGAAATAAGCAGTTAAATATTTTATTCAAATAGCTAATTTTTGTTGATAAAATCAATTATCACATATCGGAAAGTTCAAGCAACTTGCCATAAGAGAAAAAGACACTTACACCTAGTTATCACATGATTTTTCTTAATTTAGTGAACATGTTTTAAGCTCTTTCTCACATTTTGATTGGGCTTAATTAATTAATATCTACTTATTATTTCTTGAAGTTTTGCTCGGCGCATGAGAACGTGCCTTAACAGTATCTCTTTCATTATTGGCATCCGTGGCATTTATCATAGAAATTTATTCGCAAACTTTACAAATTTACATCTTTCTATGAATCTATTTATTTTACGACAATAATAAAAAGAAATTCGTGTTACTAAATTCTCATTCACAGCATTTCCATGACATTCTTTAAGTAAAATTACTTCAACGGTTTTCGCTTTCCGATAAAAGTGAAACATTGAAATTCCAACGAAAGTGATACATCAGGCGTGGAATTAGGTCGAAGGTATCGTAGACAGGTGCAAACTATTTCCATTCTTCTATCAATGTAATGCATTTTTATTTACTTACAACGATTTATTACTATTTATTAAGAATTTTAAAAATTATATGCAGTCGAAAAAACAGAAAGATACCCAATAAAATCAGAAAAATGTCTTTAAATCAAACCAGTATTATCTGTATCATTGAAAATATATGAAGATGCAAAATTTTGCATTATGCATATTTTTATATCGACGTTAAAAAACAATATTAATTGATATAATGTATTTCTATAATGAAAAAAATTAATATGATATTAATTAATCATTAACGATATTATTAATCATTAACATAAAAAGTTCCAAAATATATCTTGAGATTTTTTGAATTTATTTTGTAATTGAACAATTCCAATTCCAATTCACGCAATTTATACAGGCTAATATTCGAAATTTATGGCGGTATACGAAATGATTCTAGTTATAATTCCTAGATGATAAATATAAAATAAACTAGTGATGCATAGCATCGTGGCTTAAAGCAAATTACTAGAACTTCCCGTACCAAAAATTATTTTTTTTAACAACCTTTAAAATTTTCTGTAATACTTTGAATAAAATGAGACTTGAAATTTTTTGAAAAAATTGACTTTTTTGAGAAATTTGAATTTTTTTATGTTTCGAAATTTTTTTATACTTTGAATTTTTCAAAAAATTTAAACTTTTTAACTTCCCGTAGGGTAAGTTATAGTAATCGCAAAAAAACACGAAAACGGATATGTTCATATATCTTTACGTTTCTCTCAGAACATTTTGGCATACATTAGAAAAAATGGATGTATGTGTGTGTGTGAGTGCGGATACAAATTTTCGTCGACGATTTCGGGAACACGGTTCAACCGATTTCAATTATTCGAAAACATTCGATTGCTGTTGACAAGGAGACGTGCTGATTAGTTTTTGGCGAAGGCAGGTCTAGTCTTAAAAATGTTTATTGGACATATGTACATCAAATTATCAGATATTTTATAGAGATTTTAATAATGCGTACCCTATATGTTTTTTAGGTTCCGTACCAAGATTTTTAATTTTAAAATTCACGTATATGGTTCAATCAAATGTCCCCGACTTTTTCGATAGTATAGAATAACCGATTTATAAAATTGAGAAATCATTCGGTTCGTACTCGATTGCGAGGCGTTTTTGCAAAAGGCAATTTTGATGTTTCGGAGGTATGGTGCGCAAAGGGTGTAAAAACGGTTCTTCAGTTGAGAGAACGGATCACCCGATTAGATGAATTCAAATAACAATTTGCTTGAGTAGATGGTGTGCAAAAAATGCATTTACAGAAAATTTAAAATTTTGAAAATTTTCAAAAAAACTAAATTTTTAACAATTAAAAAAAAATTTCTTACAAAAATTTGAGAATATTTCAATAATTAAAAAAATCGAATATTTTCCAAAATCTTCAAATTCTCAAAATTTAAAAAAAAGGACTCTTGTAAACGTACACATAAGTTGTTCATAAAATACGCTCGTCGTCCAATTTAAAAAGCACTTATAAGTTTACAGTATGTAATAATCTATTTGCAATTATTCAAAACAATTATTGATTATTTTCATTCCCCGAATGTTTAATTACGGTACGGGAAGTTCCAGCAATTTGCCTTAAGGCACGGTGCCATGCGCTCCCCAAGTTTTGAGTTGTAATTGGTATAAACTGCTGAATGAATGAACATCGTACCAAAACGTATGGAGTAAATACCTTATTATTGTTTGCATGAATTTATTATGTTATTAATGATACAAATTTATTTTATAAATTGTATTAATTTCTCGTTTCGATAACAATTTCACACCTATGGATAGTGTATTTATTTGCTTTACGCAATCAACCAACCAATAAGCTATCAATGATTTTGATATGTACCTATGACAGAACAAATATTTGCATTATTCAATTAGCAGTAATTATTGAATTAGTATAAGTAAATATTTGGAAATTCCCTTACACACATTACAAATATTTTCCTAAACGAGGTGGCAAAATCTTCGGATTCATGAAAGGTAAAGGTAAAGTACTATTTTGGGACAGTAATTAAAATGAAATAAAAGTAATTAATGATTGTTGATGAATCCGTTGCTTTTCGACCATTATGTTCATGTTCGAGTTTTTTACCCGTTATATTTGCATTTGTAGTTTTCACTAGTTAAGTATCCCATTATATTTGTTTTTGTGTTTTTCACTTGTTATGTTTCCCAAGTTTGTTTATGTGTTTCTCACCAGTTATGCTTTGCATTATTTTTAAATTTTATTTATTTGGTGCGCAACTAAGTTCTCGCTGTTTTTTCGATGAAAATGTAACTTTATTATAAAAAAACTTCTATATCTGGTTCATTCAAAGTATTGCCCATTGCTAGGCACATCTTTTGCCCACCTTTCTGGCAGAGCTCAAATACCTTGGCGCCAGAAGTGGTAGTCTTTTGAGGCTATCCACGAATCAAGTGATTTTCTGACGTCTTCATATGAGTTGAACTGCTGATCAGCCAGACCATGTGCCATCGAACGGAACAAGTAAAAATTGGACAGTGCGATATCTGGGGAATATAGCGAGTGGGGTAGGACTTGCCATTTGAGCGTTCCCAGTAGGTTTTAACAGACTTGAAAACGCGAGGCCGAGCGTTGTCATGCAGTAAAATCACTCTGCTCGTATTGTGGCCGTTTTTCGCGCAGTGCTCGGCTAAATTGCATCAATTGAGTTCGATACAGTTCTCCAGTGATGGTTTCGCTCGGTTTCAACAGCTCATAATGAATAAGACCGACCTGGTCCCACCATATGTAGAGCATGACCTTCGGCTGTAATGTATTCATTTTTATCACCTGTCACGATGTAATAAAGAACCTCTTATTTTCTCGCCACTGGAGCAGTTGTTCACAGGCGA